ATCATTACATCAGAAGTATGGTCGCCTTGTAAGGCAATCACCCCCCCGGATTTTCCTGGCATCATCTCCTCAGGCTTGCTGTGAAATGACAAGGGCTGGCATGGGTTGGATTCAGCCTGATTATGTCGAGGCAAAAGTAGACAAGGTCAAGGGGTTTCTGGCCGACATCGACACAGAGGTACTGTACTAATACGACCATGTCTTCACGTCACGCATCACAAAGGGTTGTGAAGGAAGGGAAGTAGGCGTGATGTCACACATCACACCAAGTTTTGAAGAGTTTTTTTTTTTGAATTAAAAATAGTCATTTTTTTCCGGACCTGCGGTGCCTTGTTTTAGTAAACATCACATTTGGCATATTTAGAATCATGTTATACTTGAGGAATGCATGCTTACCTTCCAGCCAAAAAATTGACAGGTTGCTGGGCCAAACCGCCTGAGAAATATGTGGTGGACGAAGAGCAAAAACTCTTTGTCACGCATCACACAGGACAATGAAGCGACGAAGAGATGGTTAAAAGGTGTCACACCCCAAGGGGCCTGAACAGTGGGTCGTATTAGTACAGTACCAGGTGCGGCCGAAAACTATCAAACTTTCTTATTTGATGCTGCAGCAAAATGTGACAAGAATAACATTGTGCATACTTTTGTAACTTTGCAACCATTTCTCAAATTGGAGTAGAGTGCGTGAAGAGCCAACACACGGGCGCACGGCGTTTATGTTGATATTTCCGGTGACCAGGAGTGCTTACAACAGGAATCACTAAAGAGGTAAGCGCCTATGACCGTTGTAGTGATTTTGAGATGCTGAGATACCTCAACGCAGATGCCTGACCTGACTTGTGAACACTGGGCATGATTTATGTGATACAATTGCTGCTGAACAGCTTGTCCTTTGTGGGTTGTTCAGAGCTAGGCATATCATACAAGTTACGGGCAAGGATAAACACCTTTTCATGCCATGCCTTCAAATTTCCAATGATCTATTCTTGCAGTCTACCATGAAATCAAGTCTGATATTGAATCAATGGTGTACAGAAAGAAAATGAAGAGGTTGTCTTGGGAACATCAAAATGTCATCAGGTCATATTATACGTGAGATCTAGGTGCGGTGATAAGGTAGCTCAGGGAGTAAAAGAAGCAATCAAGTTCCTACACTTGTAAGGGTTAAGCCATGGGCCCCCCTGAAAGTCCTGATTAGTGTTACAAATGGAAAGTCATGAAAGCAGGCATAAACGGCAGGACAGTTACGTAGTTTAGGTAGCTCATACCCATGAAAAGTCCTGGTCTACATACTATCGTCATGTAATGTGAGCGTTAGATTATCTCCAAATAATCATTGACATACACACATGGAGTATTGCATGACGCTGAAGCCAGAACAGTGGGCATATGTCCCACCTCTTCACCAAATTTCTAGAGACAGTCTATTCAGTGATTTCCTCTCCTCCAAAGCTGATCCTATGGCTGAGCTTTCAAGGGAAACCGTGTTAGCTCGTTTTCCTTGGCTTATTTCAGAGTTCATGGACTCACAGATCACACATCTGGCTTCACTGCTGCCCAAAGAGACTGAACACATCATGGACAAAAACTGAGCCACCAGACGCGGAACTGAAGGAGATGGACACATGGCCTAAGACAGAAACAGAGGAACCTAATGAAGGATGACACGATGATGGATGGACCGGTGGACATGGACAAGAGAAGACATGGATCTAAGGTGGGATATATGCCTGGACTTGATAGCGACGAAGAACCCCTAAACAGTCATGGTAATTCTCTCTTCAAATTGTAGCTACAGCATGCCCAGAATGTTGTCCTCATCATAAACAACCCTGTCTGCCTTCCCATCCTTGACAACCTCATCACGCCAGTTCATAATGTCCATATACTGGTCACCATCAAATCCATCCACATCTTCAGGACCACCATTGAATCCATCCACATCCACAAGACCACCATTACCTGCTCCACCTCTGTTGCCAGCATTACCACCTTCCCCGGCATCTGTCCAACAATGTTTTCTACTATGCTCAGGACTACGCCACTGATGACCCCAGATTGCTGTTTCCATGGGAATACTCCATGTCTCGAGCTCCAAGGCGAGGGAACCCTGGAAATCCCTCTCGAGCTTTGAAAAAAAAACATATAAGTGTACCAGGTGACTAGGGTTGGACAGATCAAACAGTTGCTTGTGCGCGTAGATGTAAACAAGCTAAGAAAGTTTAAGTTTTTAGCAGCTAATACATAATTATGAACATACTGAGTTCTCACTTTTCCTGTACGAAGAGAGAATCTGCACGTGGCCACAAGAGGCAATAGCACCCATGATGATAGAATGCTGGAGTCCGAGAGCTTTCCGCTGCGCCTGTGCAGTGGCAAGCGCCATGATCACCTGGTTTTTATTGCAGCCGTTCTCATCCTTCTTGAACTCTCCAGCTAACCCAATGATTGAAAAACCATCTGTCGACCTGCCAGTGGACCAATAGAGGTGTTCTGAAAGGGATGGGTATTGAAAGGAAAGTCGACCCTCTCCTATTATGTCAAGGATGGTCTCTGAAGGAATTGTCACCAAGGTATCGGACACCGCATCCGGATTGCCGAGCGACGCCACAAGGCGGTAACTTTCTTCCGTTCTAATGACAAGGTTATAGGAGGTATATGCAAGCCCGACGGGAGAAAACGTACGCAAAATCACAATGACGATCACGCCTCGCACTAAAAGCCAGTTCGATAATGTCGTCGATGCCACGACGCTGAGCATGTTCTTTGGAGCGCTTGTTTGAAGTTTTGCAACTACGGTTGAAAGCGAAGGCGAGAGTGGGAAGAGCGGTTAGGATTCCAAACTCGTCTTGATCCACAGTGCGAAGTGTCGAGGCCCATTTTTTCACGCGGGACTGGAATTCAGGTTCGTCGTGTAAAAATGATGTCGGGAAAGGACCCTACTTGAAAGTTGTGAGTAATGGATATGCGGGCAGGGGATACTAACCTCAACCAGAATCTTGGGCACTTGTTCTAACTGGTACAGTTTATCAAAGTGGTCTACAACACCTACCGGGGGGGTCACTGTCAGGACAACTTTGGCTCGATCCGTCCAGTCAAGAAACAAAGAGGTTGCCCTTTGCAAAACAATGAAACCCATCGAAATCACTGAGAAATATGAGGCGACTCACCTGGATGGTGACGCACTACTGGCGCAGTCGGAGACCAAGGAAGAGTTGGGAGGCATCGTAGCGGTAGGGTTCAAAGGAGTGGCCTACTAGTAATCGATGGACACTTGTCACTTTCATTGAACGTTTACTTATTCTCCGGCTGACTCGAGGTCGCGGACCATTTCCGGATCTATTACGATGAGGTAATGAAACTCCCGATGAGGTAATGGAAACTCCGATAACTCCGACCATCCCGAAAGTTCCCTCCCCGTTCAGCACCTTGCGCCTTTCAACTTTGTCACTATCCTCTTGCGCGAAAATGGCCAAACCCCAAACAACGTCGTCTGTTCAGTGTACGACCTGTGGTCGTCTTGTCCACTATTTGTCAGTCAAGTCCAATGCGAACGGGAATCAAGGGCGGTCGCTTGCGAAAGTAAGTATATGCATAACACTGATGCACTCAACTATGGTGTGACGTCACTGATTCCGGCTTTTCGGCACTTGGATGCGGTGCACATGCTCAAGTGTGCACATTCGCAACACTTGAAACAAGTGAATGTCAACACACTAATTTCATGGCACCCAATCTGACTGCTAACATCTGAGTGTCTCCGACTCGCGCATTTTCCACGACTCAGGCAACTTCGATACAACCCTCCGAATCAAGCGGATGTCGAATGTGTGGTCGTATACGGAGCCGTTACCGTCTCTTGGAAACTGGTGTAGATGTACATGGATGCGGATAGGCCCGAGGAGGCGTGCGTGCCCTCTAGACCTGTAGGAGAACTCTAAGATGCGTGAGACGTAGTGGACGCCGCAACACAAGTTCCTCTAGAACTCCTGATGCGCCATCAGGAAAAATCCAACTTGCAAATTTGTAGTAATTTGTGTCAATGAGAAGTGAAAACTTATGATTATGTAGTGCGATTGGTGCCCATAAGCATGATGGGAATTCCGGTATTCAAGAGCCTGCTACTAACCCGGGCTAGGCTCCCCGTCGTCCACCATCTAAGTATGGGCTGTTGTTCAGCGCAACTCGTTTTCCTCGGCTTATTTCAGAGATCATGGACTCTCAGGTCACACGTCTGGTTTCACTGCTGCCCGAAGAGACTGAGCACGTCATCGCCCCCATCGCCCCATGGACTCGCGGGGCCGCCTAAGTCTGGCAACATCCGTTTTCTTTTGCAGGGTATGCTTCGACAACCAGATCTGTGGTGTGGCACTCTGCGGCTGGACCAAGCTATGATCGAGATAAACTTTACCATATGAATTTACGGTTTAATACCATCGGCTACTCTGCTGTATGTTCTCTCATCCGCTGTTTGGGGCTTGATCCCGCAACAACGACCACGGAACATCTTGACCCAATCTTGACCTGATTGATGCCCGCTTTTTCTGTGAGGCATGCCCCATCTCATCTGTGCGAGGCATTCGAGGTCGGAAAGCATTTAAGTGGACGGAATGTGTAGGTTTCTTTCGTGTCCATCAACTCAGCTATTGACAATCCTATAGATTGCACATGCGACGATAGAATCAGTATACTTTTGGCAGCTTCTTACACCAGAAGCGACACCATTCGTCAAAGAGCATGAGCCCCTCTTTCCCCCTGCCGAGGCAACCGCCTGGGGCTGCAACCACTGCCCGGAACACTTTGGAAAGAGTGTTTCCCTTCCATGTGCGAAGTTTCATGTCAAAGAAATGTTAGTTCTCCTTTGGTTCTTCGCCCCTTGCTCTAAATGATTATTTCGTCGCTGCAGTCACAACATGGAGTGGCCAGTCATTGGCAAAGATGTCATCGCGTACAAGCACCAGTTCCACCACCAGCCACGGAGTTATGCTTCTCGGAAGCCATTCCACTACGCACTGGAACCGCCAAGGAACCGCCTTGCCAGTTCATGTGCAAAATGTGTCCGAAGCGACCCGTTTACCAGTTGTGGTCGATGCAGGATTTGATACCACATCTGTGGAGGAAGTGAGCACCAGCATCCCTTAAACTTGACTTTGAGAGTCGCTGGTTGATGTATCACTTAGGCATCATGTACCCGGGCCTCGTCAACACGACCATTGGGAAAGAGTTGAGATTACCGTGGCGCGTTGAATGGATTGACACTCTCAACTACTTTCGCAATCAAGTAGGACCCAGCTCTTGACCCTTTTTCTGCTGCTTCGAACTTGATCTGTTCCATTCACGCTCGACTGTCAGTTGCGCAGGTAGAGGAATAATATTCATTATTTACAACACTGCCATCCTGTTAACAAGGAGGGGACATTTGGTTACTCAAACTCAAAACCACATTCCTTTGAGAGTCTCAAACCCTTCTCGTAGAGGAGCCACTGGCCATGCAGTTTTCACCCTTTTGTGCTTTGGAGTGTCATCGGGTTGACTTGTTGGAGGCCGCTCCTCAGCCGAAATGGCAGCATTAGCAGAAGGTTGGGGCTTGTAATCGATATTCTTCGAGTCCCCTGGAAGGGTCTCTGCAGCTGCAACGACAACATTGACATAGGAAACAACTTTTTTTCAACTTTCAGTTGACGTAAATCCCGAAGAGTTTCCAAAGTTGCTGCAGAAGATCGTTTCAAGCTTGTCCCCGGTTAGTGTATGAGCACATCTGATTTTCAAAGTGAGGAGCATGTGTCTCAACGTACAGGATTTGTTGTCTAAGGAACCGGGTTAATATCGTTGAGCCATGGATCGTCCCACAACTCCTTAGCGGAACTGTGCTCTTCCAGCTTCCACCGCACCATCTTCCTCACAAACTGCGAGAAACGCACCTTATCCTCACCCTCCAAGTTCTCCTCCGCTTCTTCGAAGCTATTCCGCGGTAGATCGGTAGCACCGATCCAGTTGCCTGGAAAATGCAGAAAACATCAGCCGCAGAACGTAAAATTTTGATTTGGTGAATACTCGCCTTCTTTGTCAAAGTACTGCCATGGCGTATCGGTTTCACTTTGATTAAGAAAATCGACTGGTGGAGGACCAAGAAGTGACACCATATGCGAGAGGTGATAGAGATTCGACCGCTTGTTCTCCGGTCCTCCTGTGGCCTTGAACATATTCTTGTCCTCGAATGTGTTCCAGATCTAGGAAATACACCGGAGTAGCTTTAATGTTGAGTGCCCTGCGAGGTGGGAAAGAACGGTCGAACCATTACACCAACAGACCAGATATCGACCTTCCGTCCCCATGGCACACCGAGTATGACCTCCGGAGCGCGGTATTGGTATGGCTGGATGTCGTCGGTGCACATCGCCCGCCCAAACCTGGCTTCACCAAAGCCGCAGAGCAGGGGCCGGCCGTAATCCTTCGTAACTATCCGCCTAGACGTATAAATGATCCGGTCTCCCGTAACTTTTCGGGCACTGGGGTTAATTAATTCCTCTTTTTCAAAAGCATTTAGTGCGGAGATGTCGTCAAGGTCAAGAAGAATGTTCTCCTCCTGAATATCTTCCGAGGTGTAAGCCTATTAAATGTGTGACAGGGGAACTAAATTCACCGGTGTGGATAACTTAAGCTTCCGAATGCAGAAAATCGACTGCAAGAAGCACATGCTGCAACAGAACTTTCAACAAGTTCTCGGGCAACCTGTCTCCCCTCAGCTTTCTCCGTAATTCTCTAATGGTCATCCTCATCGGCTTATGAACGAGGCACTGAAAGTTCCATGTTCACTTTGAAGTTCGAAGTGATCGAGGAAGGGGCGGATGAGAACGCGTCCGACATGCTTCGATTCAGGGAGTGCATTGATGTGATTGAGAACTTCGACTTCTCGCTTAGCTGCCAGCGTCACAGCATTTTCGGTGCAGATTTTGAGTAGCACATAGCGATGCTCACTTGCATGTTTTCTATCATCAACTACAACGAAGAAGCGATCTCCTTATGACTCACACAAGGTCTTTGCAGAGCCACACCGTGGAATACGCGCCATATCCTAGCTTTCCGATGACCTGGTACCTTGACTGGAAGACTTCTCCTATCCGCACGGGGTAGAAATACTTCGGGTCGTACCACGCAAATGTTTCTTCTTCGATAGGTTCAGATGAATCAAGCGTTTGGAAGCCGACGGTGGAAAGTTGACGTCGACGCGGAGGCGAGGGCGGTCTGTGGCCGCGCAAATCGCGGGCAAGGTTGGAAAGCGAGTCCAAGTGAAACGAGGTTCGAGTCGTTGGGGTGGTCACCAAACGCGGCTTTTGGCTGGTTGAGGGACCCGATAACTTCACGCGGCGTGCAACAAGTGGCAAGCTGAACCTGCCGGTCGTCAGACTCATTGTACTCGTGTGCGCGAAGTGGCAAGGGCAATTGCTAAGCGTGGCGAAAAGCGCCGGTTGTCGGTGGGGTGAAGTAGGTATTGATGGTGATATGGTACCTAGGTCGAATGTGTACGTCAACTGGGTGCTATGAAAGTGACGAAGGCGTAAACAATCATGAAGAGCTCACGAAGGCCGCCCTACAATCGAAGAGTAAATTTTGAAAATGACTTCCAGTCATTGTGATGTGTTTCGAGAACGACCCACAGAACAAGGTTGAAACCAAGTTAGGACTTGGTTAGGAGATGCTGTTGGCGTATCTAGACGAGTTTTCCAGCTCTCTAGACTTGTACATGGGGGCGAATCTTTGGAAAAGTAACGCAGTTACCGTGTTCCCCCGTGCACTGGCAGCGATCACGTAGACGAAGATATCATTGTATGGTGTCCAATTTTACCTCGCCTTCATCCTGGACCGTAGGTCAGTTGAATATGGGTGTCAGGTTGAGACGACGATGGAGAACAGCAGAAAGCCCAGGATATGTATTATCGCAGTAATGGGTACATAGTATAGGACTCAGAAAAGGTGTTTGTTGAGGGCGTTCCTTTCAAAGTCACCATCGCAACGTCAGTGGACCGTTTCACTGACAGGTGCAGCCCCATGTCCCATTCGAGTTCGACGGGGTTGAGCTCCGAAAGGCTGGTGTGCTTAGAGGGTCCCTCGTACTAGGCATGTCCATACTCGGATTGGATTTGAAGAAGGACGTGGGTTTGAACGAGACGGTCAGCTGTTCCACAGGCATACTACAGATTACCAACGTTAGTATTAGAAAAGATTGGAAGACACGTCACACAGAAAGCGACGGGAAGTACGTACACAGGCCAATCCTCAGGTCTGGGTATGTGGGTGGTGCCTTCAAAAGCGAGCAACTCAATACCACGACAAATTGGAGGAGGGAAGAGAAATACTGACCAACTGTCAAGTAAACTAAAATATCCTCATCAACAACAGGCAACTCCCCCTTCACCCATTCTCCAATGGAATCTTTTGCCTGCTCCCTCGATTGCGGAACATACTTGCCAGAAGGCCACATCCGCTCGCTGCCCCACTTCCCATCTTCCCCTTCAACGTCTCTGCACACCCAGACCGTGTTCTTCAAAAAAGCAGCCCTCACAGCAGCCCAGGAATCTTCCCTAACCATCATAGGCGTCGCCCCGCCTTTCACACCGAGGGTATACCCAACATCTCTGCCCGAACTGTAGTGATTCTTGGCCAAGTTGACGATTCTCCACCTACGTTCTTTAGTATAATCATATGCCCTCCCCGCTTCCTTCCCAATGACTTTGTCCACGGAGACGAAGGCGTTTCCGGCAAAGTTTGCAGCTGATGTTGTAGGTGCATCAGGCAAGGGCATGATATCCGATTCGATGAGGGTATTGTTGAGCCCATCGATCATTGGGTCAACACGAATGCTAAACATATGTTGATGGTAGTGTGCATTGATATTGGGAGCCACCAACGTGCCGTGTGGGCTGGGCTCGCCGTTGCCTGCGACGTAGGTCTGCAACATTCCCGTAAGTCGGATCTCGAACTCGATACTGCCGTCTTGGTAAAAATGATAGTTCCAGATGTAATCTGTCATGATCAAGTGCATGAGTGAATGAATGTCATTGAGGAAGGGAGATTGATAACATGCCATAATTCGCCAATGTGCACGCCATGCTGATCACTAACCTGCGTCTCCGTACAGTATGCGATCTGCCTCCAGGGCGAAAATCCGTGTGTTTCCAAAGAACGCCAGCATCTTCCTCATGAATGCAGATTGCTTTCTTGATCAAGAAGGCACTCCCGTCATGGGTGACGTATGAACCTGGCTATCACTGACATTGGTTTCCGGAGTTCATTCACACACGATCCAACATACCAGATAATGTATCTGCCCTAGGCAATCACAACCAAGCGAAAGCTCGTTTGCCATCGTTCCCATGCCATATTCCCCTCTATGCAAAACTTATTAGAAACTACTGATGGTTTTACAGAAAAAGGAACTCACGAATCGAAGGCAAACTTTCTTGGATGTGGATGTTCCGGTGCGCCATAAGGTACAACCATCTCCGCTAAAGAGAGTCGGTACATGATGGGCCTCACTACCCCATGGTCATCGTATGTTATCGTCGACAAGGCAATACCTTCTCGAGGGCTGAAAGCTGATAATCTCTCGATTAGTCTCCAACTAAGCTGATATGGAAGAACAGGCTGACCGACATGGATCTTCCAGTTCTGCCACGCTAGCACATTACCGTCAATCTTGAAACTCACACCTTCGGGCTGGACAACATGCAGCGGTTTCACATCAGTTCTCGGAGTATATCCACCCTCTTCAGTATCTGCCATCAAGTCAGGCAGGAAGTCCCATGCTCGTCGGGGAGGTGGAATACGCTCGCGTCCAGATGCCGCTAATGCATCGGCATCCCTTGGTGGTGGAGCAGTACTGTCTGTGCTAAGCTTTATGGCACCTTCTGGTGTGCGAACACAGCGTGGGGGGAAGTCTAAACGCGGAAACCTATGAGAACGCGACACAGGACCAGCATTTGTCACGACCCACCGATATGAAGGCATCCTCCTTTGTCGACGTCGACAATGGGAATGAAGTCCTAGAAAGTGACTGCTTTGAATTCCGTGATGGGATGATAGGATCAATACTATACCATAGGGTGGGCATAAAGGTTATCATGCGGCGAAAAGCGAGCAAACACCAGTGCCTGTTGCACCCTCCTACTTTGAGGGAACCGTTCGTCATACCCTAGTGACCACATGTCACAAAACATTTGCTCAGGAAGGACGCCTTGGTGCAAAGTCAAGCAATGTAAGAGTTAGATGAAGATGCAGACTTACCGACTTCTTTCGCGAGAGCTTGAACTTTCGGGTCATTCTTCACCAAAACTTCACATGCGGCAAGCTCCTCCACGGTCATTTGTGAATGAGCTTCTTCCGGAAGAAGAGTAAGAATGTCGACATTCCATGCTTGATCGGTCGAAGACAAGATTGCGTTATAGCAGCAGCTGTATGAAGAATGAACAGAGGGTTAAGGCATTTGAACGCTCAATCCATGGCGTACCCGTTCACAACATCTATGAACTTTCAAGCGACGAAAGATAAGCCTTCTGTAACATGACAAACAGAAGAACATACGTCCACCTCGGCCTTTCTGACAATCGGAACAGGCTCCTCGGGTTTGCCACCAGGTGTCAGGGGAATTCCAAGGTGCGCCAATACTGCTCGCTTCGGCGCAGGCAACAAAGAGCAAGTAATGAATTTGATGGCCTTGATCTCTGTCTTCGCAGCAATGTAATGCCGAACGGAGAGCGTTATAGCGGGGATCTACATACAATTGAGTATTCGACGCCTTAAACTTCAAGTAACGTATGCGAGATGATACCTCATTGGGAGTTAGTGGGTCCAAAGGGTGATTGAAACCTTTTGGAAGATGTTTGCCGCGTAAAGTTCGGATGGCGGTCGGCGTGCCCATAGCTACAGCACCATATAGAGCCATGTCCTTTACTAGTGATCGCAATGGTAAGCTAGGGAAAAAGAATATCGAGTCAAAAGGGCACCGTACCTTTATACCTCGATCATCTTGCTTGTCAAGGTCTCTTCCATGCCTGCCATCACTTCTCCATCATCCTCTCGAGAAATCTTGTTCCGTTTTATCTGGAAAGAAACCTATAGAGAGACGGAATATTAACTTTCACTTCATTCGGCTTGAAAAGAAAGATAAGCGTACCTCTTTCAGTAGATTTTGGCCCAAGAAATCAATCTCATCAGTGACTTGGCACAACATGTCTGGCAGGCGACAGTCGTCCTTGTCGAAAACAGCTGACATGCCCAATGGAAGTAAGAAAAAAGATAGCCGCCAAGAATCATGAGGCTAGAAAGCGGGGTGATTCCCCCATTCGGTATTAGGGTTAAGCTGATCTTAACGCAAACGGCATCGCGAAAATGGACCCAATGCCCGAGAAAGCTGCGACTGAGGTGCCTCTGGAACCCTTCAAACTCTAGCCATTCCGCCTGTCTGCACACCTCTTTTGCACCGCAATCTCGCTGTGCGCAAACAGGATACCAGTAAATTTCTGCCCAGGCCGGACGGATGGGATGACAAAAGAGTTATATCGGTCGCATCGATGGTGGAATATATCGGTTGGGAACGGAGAGTGTCACGGCGGGCATGAGTGATGATGCGTAGTAGCCTTACACAGACAGATAGGATGAGAGTCGGGTGATGGACGGGGGAGAAGGGGCATTCGAGGAGGAAGCGCTGGGGGTGTTTTCGGGATTTGAGGGGGAGTATGGTGTTCGTCCAGTTCCAGGAACTACGGTGATTCAAACTGTGTGCTCTGCGCATCCTACGCATTGCGACGGGGTGAACCTGATTGTTGTTCGGGAATACTATTACTATCGGGTGAATGAGCACCTCTATCGTGGCAAGAATCGAAATAAGGAGAAATTGACTGACATTGAATGACACCAACAACTTCAACTATGGACCTGCTATGGAGTCCTGCGCCAGTCGCGTTGTTTGGTCCGCAAGGTGTCGTCAATAATCTCACACACACACCCCTGAACGTTTGAACTGTAACTTTCACGAACTCCTCCTTGTCTGCCGCGTAGGAATCGAAGAACGATGAAAGAGAGCATGGATAGAGGTATGTAATAAAAATCACACGAGATCCCAATCCCTCAGCCTATAACGGCACACAGATACTCACAACCCGTTCCAGTACAGAACACGGGAAGATGGCGCACACGGTCACCCAAACATCCCCCGCAAAAATCAGGAGCGCATTCATAGGAAACAAAAAACAGGCACTGGATGCGGAACGTGCGACCACCCCATCCCCGCAACCTTATAACGACGAAAGCCTCATCACAGGTGAACCGGTGGGCTCGGGCCACTACGTCTCGTGTGACGAAGACATCCAATCCTCTGGAGAAGAAGACGAAGGAGACGATCAGGACTCTATGAACACCGACACCGCCAACCTAGCCAACCGCCTACAAAACAAAGAACGACTCAGCAATCTATACAGCTCCCTTGTAGACGCTGAAGCCTTCGTCCAGGCCCTCGCAACTGACGGGGATATCGAAGAGGCCAGGGGGAACCAGCACATAACCGGTTGTATGGCCAGGCTGTCCAGCGCCCTCCTGGGTCAGCCATACGGAATCATCATGGACCAACAGACGGCTCTCCTACAGGCAGTTCGCGATATTAACACGACAATAGCGTCACTCCTGGAAAAAGTCGAGGACAACGGGGAAAAGATCGACAGAATACGAGAAGAAACTCAGCACAACTTTACGACAATGACGGAACAACTCAGGACTATCGACCTGGCGACCACGGATACCTTGTCACGCGTCATGACACTAGAAGGTAACGTCGATGGCCCCAATCTCCAAAACACACAAAAGACAACCAGCACAAGCGCCAATGCCAGCTACGCGACGGGACCGCTAATCAAGCCAGAAGGAAAGGCGGACGTAACCTCGGAGACAACTAAACGAAGCACTAACCCACAAACAGCCCACCACCCATGCCGCTTGGTCATCCGGTTCATGCCAGACGGGATAAAAGAAGAAGACCGCTTAGATCCATTAATCGTCGTGAACACAATAAACGAGGCCCTTCAAGGCTCCCAGTGGCTCAAAGCCAAAGACATCAGAGTCGTAGCGGCGACTCACAACAAGCAGGGCAACCTCATCGTTTCAACACGTTCGGACCAATTGGCGTCGGACCTCCTTCAATACGCAGGCACTTTCCTACCGCTCATCAGCCAGGGATACAAAACGGACGCACGGGAGGACAAAAAGTGGTACAAGATACAGATCGACGGCGTTAGCACTCACACTGTGATGAACCCCGGATACTGTCGGACCCTCAACAGTGCGAAAAGAGTCCACGACGAACTCATGGCATTTAACACGAAGTATGCACAAGCTGCCGCACACATCGTTGCTCCTCCTCAATGGCTGCGTACTCAAGAGGAACGGGAAGGCACCCTGCGCTCGTCCCTCGTTTTCGCTGTCGATGACGAAGGAACGGCTAAAGAACTATTACAAGGAAACACCCTCGCAGCGTTCAATCGGTGGTGCCCTCTGCGAGTCTACCAAGACAGACGCAAAAAGCGGTTCATCGAGACCAATTTGGATCCGACGTACGTTGATGCGTCTGGGAGTGAACACGATAACATCACTCTTGTGAATGAGCAGCCTTCCAAGAAGTCAGACTTGGTAAGGACGACCCATTTTTTACGGTATCAGGGTTAGAGTTGATCTTGAACTGATAGGCAAATGAACGCAAACTGCATCGCGAAAATGCGAACCCGATGCGCTGCTGAAGTGCCTTCCTGAACCCTTCAAAATCCAGCCATTGCGACGATCTGAACCGCAATCCCGCTGTACGGAACAGGATACCAGTAAATGTCTGCCCAGATCAGACTCGATGGGATGACTGGTCCAAAAAGGGACTTGATCGGTCGCATCGTAAGATGTTGGTTGAAAACGGAGAGAGGCACATGCATGAACGATGATGCGTACGTAGCTTTGCACGGACAGTCAGTGGTGGAATTTGAAAGGCAGAAATGAAGTCGCTTTGGTCCGAGTCCGCAAGGTGCCGCCACATTGCTCTGTTTTTACTTTCAATGAACGAAGATTTTGACCTCGAATCTCTTATCCACGTTGAACAAACGTCTGCTTCGGGCCTTCGCATGCAAAACCGAATTCTGAGCTATTGACCATCTTTAGTTTCTATGATTCCGGCTTCCAAGATGGCTTTGAGCATGCCCGATCCACGGTTTGATTGAAGGCAGGGCCTTGGGCAGAGAAAAAGGATTCGAAATGTGGGAAGAGCTCGGGTATTACGAAGGGTTTGCATTGACTTGGAGAGCTATACACGAAAAACAATCACGACAAGACCAGTTCGTCTGTTTCTTCATCTTTTTTTTTTGCTTCCTTAGCCTGACATGAATTTTTAGCCGTTCAATATTACACATTCGTAACCTCCTCGAGCTCATCTCCCAATTTCCGACCATCAACCCATCTGCTGCTGATGCAGCGTCCGATGGACATCTCGAAACTCATTCGCCAGATTCGATCTAAATACAAGATTTAATGTTCAAATCAAATCTTGGTGTTCGGCCGAGATTGATAGCGTCAGGACAGACGCCATCTCAGGATTATGACGAGGGGGACATGGATCCTGACGATACTCCAGAGCGGAAGAGTCTGTCGCCTGTGTAGAAGATAGAGAAAGAGATCCCTCAAAGCCGGTGACAGGACAGGATCTCACCTTTTGATGCTCGACGTGCATCTTTGCCTCGGCATTGTTTTTCTTCAATCGCAAAGCAACCCGTCAGTTGAGCGACCACATGCTCACTCCCTGCTATCTCTGACGTTGACTTTTCAGTGAGCAATGCCATCTTTCCCGTGCATATTCACAGGAGATACCACAACTTCACGGCCCATGATTCCATACGATACGACATACCTATGTATGTATGTATGTACGCGGGTGACCGGACCGTCAATGAATCCAACGTTTTAACGCAACCATACGAAACCTGGAAGGGCAGCTTGCTGGCATGTCTCCCAAACCGAACATTTCGCGGCTATCTCAAGATTTGGTGGTTGACTATAATGGTCGATTACCTTACATTTAGGACCCTCAAGAAGTTTTCGATGACTTGCAGTGGTCGATGACTTCTGCTCAGGTGTTTCCTGAAGCGCTCAATCATCAGCGTTACATATCTTTCAACTTCTCTGAACAACATTTTTCTCGGGAGGTCGATAAAGACGCTACCCACCGCACTTAATACTTTTACATGTTTTCTTGTTTCTTTTCTTTTTCTTTATACATAATGCATTCTATATTTTTGGATCTTCCAACATCCAACATCTATACTCCATCCAATTTATCTAGTACATTTCCTTCATGGTTTGATCCTCGTAATTTCTTACATGTTGGACAGCCCGAATGGCCAATATCGTTCGATCCGCAAAGTCAGGATCTGACTGGACGATAAACGAGCTCAAGGCCTACAATATCGTCGTCACCCTCTGGGATGTTGCTACTTTCTTCGGAAATCCCATCCTTCCCCAGCCACCCGTTCACCAAGTGATTCTCGACAACGAAAGGTATCCTGTTGGTGGGATAGAAGACACACATGATCGAATGTTCTTCTACTATCTGGACGAGGCGATGGCTATTCCCCCTGGGGAAGAATCTGCTGTTGGTGATTTTTCCGCAAATCTCCTCACCATGCTCCAGTATAACGTTCCTCATAACCGTTATATTCGACAGCGAAAAGACATTCCCTTCTTCATTTGCGGGACGGACTTACACGCTAAAACCGATGTCTGCGTGATGGACCGGAACCTCGGGATCCTGCTCCTCGTGCAGGAGGACAAAAGGCACCTGGAGTCTAAGGATCCCGAACCTCAGCTTATTGCAGAAGCGATCGCCGCCTTTCAATCTAACAATTCGCGTCTGAGGAGGCTTGGACAACAGCCTCTTGCGCAGAAGACCATTCCCGGTATCACTATGGTTGGTTCCACCCCCACATTCTACAAGATCACCGTTACGCAAGATCTGATCGACGCCATACAAGTCGGCGAATATCCTGGGACTCCGACCACTGTGGATAAGCTGCTGCCGCCTGTTGCGGACATCGCTGAGCTATCACAGTTTGGTATGAGGCCCCTCGATAATAGGGCTGTCATCATTAGCTGTTTTGAAGCTTTCAAACAGTTTCTTTAGGATTCTCGGTATACGTTCGAGGATAGGAACTACCTTTTTTGTTGTATGAGTACTGAGAGTGTTGCACGTGTTCTCAGGTCCCAACATTTGATGTCAATGATGAGAGTCCGAATTCACTGCCAATCGCCTCCGCGATGAGGACACTCAAGCTGTAACAGACGAGTTACTCTTTTCCATAACCTCTCCTATGTTTGATTGAAAAACCTCAATGGTCGAACAAGAACTTGCTACCGAGAATCTGGTCGAATTTCGCGGCGATTTGCTGGCCGAGCCCTCAGGCTACAAAGATCTTCCATTCGAAGGAGTGGGAGTCAACGAGTTGCTAGAAGGCCGGTCAGATGTGCCCAAGAGGGCCCCGTACAAGCCACACTTCCGTGGTTCGTCAATCTCATCTGTCTCTATGAACTTGCATTGTTAATCACGCATTTGAAGCAAATTACATGACCGGTTGGATCATGAAGGAGTTGAGAATGAAGAAGCACAAACCACACTTAGAATGCAAACAGTTGGATATGAAAAGCTTTCTTCTGTTGCCGACTGATGTTCTGCACGGGGTAAGGCTGTTCAATCCGTGTTCGGGTCGTTCCTTACCTTTCGTCCAGATATTCGAGTGGCTACACCCTGTGGACCTGTATCACCTATCGCAATCTACGAGAACACTCAGAGGCGTAGTTCTGAATCAAACATACAGAGGGGCGTGGAAAAGTGCTTTCCGTCTGTACGACGATTTGCCAACTTGCCCCGAAGATGTATCAGAGCCACAATGGTCATCTTTATTATTCGGTCCAGACACTTGTGATGTGAGTAGCCTCCTGCGTCTTAAATTCTGAGTGGGATCCAGCTCATATTAACACTACTGCGTCGACAGATATGTGGGAATCATGGGGCTCTCGCTGACTTTGCCTTTCGGAAACGGCTATGTTCTGCATGTACAGTTAGTAGTGCGGGGTCTGTGGTTATTCGTGCTTAACTTCTCTTTTGATTAGAGCATTCACCTGGTACATCGGCGCGACATGTTCCACATCATACAGGACGATCCCGACGACTGGCTCATCATTGTCTGGTCAATGATCCCAAAATCATCCCGTCGAAGTAAGTGAGCCAGTGCTCATGACATGAGAAGGCTCACACTAAATAGTTAGCACAACCTATTTTACTGAGCACATGACTGACCACTACGCTCGATATTTGAAAAAGGATGTTGACGCAACAATCGACAAGGTCAAACATTTCCTTGCCGACATCGACGCAGATGTACCAGACGCGATGGAAAACTATCAAACTTTCGTATTGGACACTGCAGAAAAACGTGAAAGGATTGACCTTGTACGCACTTTTGTAAACTTCCCAACTATTTCTTAAACTGGAGCAGAGCGCGCAAAAAGCCAATGAATGGGCGCAAGGCGTTTATGAAAATATTTGCAGTGAACACGAGCGCTTACAACAGGAATTACTAAAGAGGTAAGCCTATGCTCGTTGTGTTAATTCTGATATTGTCAGATACCCAAACACAGATGCCTAACCCGACTTGTGAACGTTGGGCATGATTCACGTGATACAATTGCTGCTGAGCGGCTCATCTTTTGTGCGTTGTTCAGAGCCAGGGATATCATCCGAGTCACGCGCAAGGGTAAGCACTTTATAATGTCATGCATTCACGTTTCTAATGATCTATCCTTCCAGTCTACCGGAAAATCAAGCCCGATATGGAATTGATGGTGTCCACAAAGAAAATGAAGAGGCTGTCTTGGGAACGTCAAAATCTCGTCAAGTCATATTATACGGAGTATCGCAAGACGCTGAAACCAGAACAGTGGGCATACGTCCCACCTCTTCACCAAAATTTTAAAGACAGTCCATTCCGTGATTTCCTCTCTTTCGAATCTGATCCTATGGAGCTTTCAAGGGAAAACGCGTTAACTCGTTTTCCTCGGCTTATTTCAGAGATCATGGACTCACAAGTCACACGTCTTGTTTCACTGCTGCCCGAAGAGACTGAACTCGTCATCGCCCCCATGGACTCGCGGGCCCGCCTAAGTCTGGCAACATCCGTTTTCTTTTGCAGGGTATGCTTCGACAACCAGATCTGTGGTGTGGCACTCTGCGGCTGGACCAACATTTGTCCACACATGAGCAATACTCTTCCAAGTTATGATTTCTCGAAACTTCACCATATGAATCTACGGTTTGACTCGGTTGGCCACTTTGCTGTATGCTCTCTTATACGCTGTTTGGGGCTTGATCCCGCGACAACGACACCAGAACATCTTGACCTGATTGATGCCCGCTTTTTCTGTGAAGCATGCCCCGTGACGTCTGTACGAGGCGTCCGAGGTCGGAAAGCGTTTAAGTGGACGGAATGTGTAGGTTTCTTTTGAGTCCATCATCTCAACTACTGACTACTCTATAGATTGCACATGCAACGATAGAATCAGTCTACTTTTGGCGGCTTCTAACACCAGAAGCGACACAGTTTGTCAAAGAACATGAGCCTCTCTTTCCCCCTGCCGAGGCGACTGCCTGGGGCTGCAACCACTGCCCGGAACACTTTGAAGAGAGTGTTTCCCTTTCACGTGCGAAGTTTCATGTCAAAGAAACGTTAGTTCTCCTCTGATCTTTCGCCCTTCGAGCTCAACCAACATTTCGTCGCTATAGTCACAACATTCAGTGGCCAGTCATTGGCAAAGATGTCATTGCGTACAAGCATCAGTTCCACCACCAGCCGCGGGGATATACTTCTCGGAAGCCATTCCACTACGCACTGGAACCGCCTTGCCAATTCATGTGCAAAATGTGTCCGAAGCGACCCGTTTCTAAGTTGTGGTCGATGCAGGATTTGATGCCACATCTGTGGAGGAAGTGAGCACCTGCATCCCGTAAATTTGAGAGTCGCTGATTGATGTATCCCTTAGGCATCATATAGCCGGGCCCCGTCAACACGACCATTGGGAAAAAGTTGAGATCACCGTGGCACGTTGATTGGATTGGCGACACTCTCAATTACATTTGCAATCAAGTAGTATGATTTCGGTTTCCGATCCAGCTCTTGATCTCTTTTCTCAACTAGATTAGACGCTCCGGGCAGCAGCTTGCTGCTTCGAACTTCATCCCTTCTGTTTACGCTCGACTGTCCAGTTGTGCAGCTAGAGGAATAATACTCGTTATTTACAACAGTGCGATCCTTTGAACAAGGAGGGAAAATGCGGTCGCCTAGACTGAAAACCACATCCTCTTGAGAGTCTTAAACCTTTCCCGTGGAGGAGCCACTGGCCTAGCTCCGGACCTCAGTTTTTGGCACTTTTTTTGGGCTCTAGGTTGTCATCGGGTTGGCTTGTTAGAGGAATGGAAGCATTAGCAGGACTGGTGAGGAGAGCGAGCTAAATTCCGTGCGAATCGGGCATAAGTAGCGTTGTGTTTGGTTCGCAATGTGTCGCCAATCTCGGACATTCCGCTGCTGGCAGCAGCCCTCTCAACTTTCCTGCCAGTGGCAGACTCCAGTGGCCAAGTTTGAACCTTTCCTGAAGGATTCCCCGTCACAGGCTTCATGCTCAAGATCAAGGCCCACCCCTCAATACATGTGCCTAGTCCGAGTCAATGTATTCGTTGTGTATTCGACACCGACGAGACATTGCGCCCTCCAGTTTACACATCCGGAATGGAAAACAAACGTTAGGGTCGAAGGTTAGACGCTCTGGACTCTTTTTGAAGTTCCAATGAAGTTCGGTTCACCTTTCGGTTCCAGAGTGCCATCGCAATATCGGGAATTTGGTTCCAACAAAATGTATTCAATTACATGCGACTTGAGCGCTTGAGCTAAGGCCCATCTACTCCAGTGCGAAACGAGTTTCGCTATAAAAAGTGTCGGCCTCCCTCGCAATTTGGGTTAAGATATTGAACATTCCTCCCCGGCCTCCGTTACTTCTGCCAAGGACGTCAATCTGCCCATGCTGCAGCCTGCAAGCGAAATCAGGACAAGATAACCAAACTGGAAGCGAATTTTGTTCTATCTTCCACCTGGAGTGCGAGGGTCCTCCATTCCGTTCCTTTGTTCGCTCGTTTGCGTCTGCCATATGGACCGACCCTCGTTCTGGGAATTATTGCTATTTATCTTCGCATCCAGCTGCCCTATAAAACGGTGGGCAACCGAGAGTAATGTCACTGGGGAAGTCCATATATGTTACACAGCTACTCGCTCAGGATGCTGGTTTGCGGCTTTTTCGTGTCCGCACTGCTCTGTGCATTCGTCGTTGACGCCGCACCACCTCCTGAACTGGTCAAGCGACAGGCTATCACAACTCTCACTGCCAGTCAGATTTCAGCATTCAACCCGTTCACTTTTTTTGCTAGCACGGCATATTGTAATCCATCCAACACGCTTGCCTGGGATTGTGGTGAGTTCTCAACAATGTGAAAAAAAAATGCTACTAGCGACCTAATTTCAATTTTAGCGATTTGCAACGCCAACGCGGACTTCGTGCCTGTAGAGTCGGGAGGCGACCGCTTTGACGTTCAGTTTTGTAAACTACCTCTTATCTTGAACATTTTCGACGGCTGACATCAATTCGGGTAGGGTATGTTGGCTTCTCGCCTTCCCAAAAAACTGTCATCGTGGCCCATCAAGGAACTGACGCAACGAAATGCATGCTATGCGTCATCCTTGGAAATCGAATATCGCTAATGTCATTTTTCTTTTCATACAGCGAAACCGACGCGACGGATGCAGATGTAGTATTAGAGCCTCTAGATTCCACACTATTCCCCGGAATCAGCTCCTCCATTGAAGTTCATAGTGGATTCGCCTTTGAACAAGCTAAGTACGCACACGTAACATTGTATTAGTCTTCCTATCATTCTAACTTTTGCTTAGGACGGCTACGACAATTCTAGCCGCTGTTCGGAAGGCCATTTCCGCCCACAGGGCGACCAAGGTCACCGTTGTCGGTCACTCCCTTGGTGTGCTACACTTGTTCGTAGGCGTCATCCCTGTCTCAAATAGTTTGCAGGTGCCGCCATTGCCTTACTTGACAGCGTCTACCTTCCTCTTCACATAAGCGGGGTAACCTTCAGGGCCGTTGTGCACGGGATGCCCAGGGTACGTCGTATTTGAACGTTCTAGAACGCTGTATTTACCATTAAATGCCGACTACTTCAAGGTCGGAAATCAGGCGTTTGCAAACTATGTTGACGCTCACCTTTCGCTGACACACATCAATAACAAGTGGGTAGAACACGGTCTCCATGACAGAAACAGCTGTTCACCTTTTGAATTGATTCTTTTAGAAAGGACCCTGTTCCCATTGTACCAGGACGCTTTCTGGGCTATCACCACCCTTCTGGGGAGGTGCACATCACAGAATCAGGATCGTGGGTTTCGTGTCCAGGTACCCAAACTCGTCTCATGGGCTTTGACTGTTGGTTCACCACGTTCATTCATATGCAGGCCAGGACAATCCCAGCACTGAATGCATCGTTGGCGACGTTCCGAACTTACTTCTAGCAAATCCCAGTGACCACTACGGTCCATATGATGGTGTCATCATGGGATGCTAAAGACTTTTGATATTTGAATGCTTTCCTCGGCCTGTAATGCACGTTCTATTTTTTCGACTTTTGATCGGGTCTCCTCAAAGTCTCCTGCTCAGTGTCGTATCTCCCATTCGACAAAATTTTGGAACAGATGTTACCACTCGATATGTACCCACAGCCAGTGCATACCTTCATTTCTAGGTAATTCTTGAGATATAACTGCTCTATGGTTACATGAGGACGTCCAATGACTGTAGATTTCCTTAAACCCTGTAGGTGCCGTACAGAACTAGCTATTCCCAACGAATGAGAGACGAAGCTGAGAAACCAGTGGCAGACACGTGCTTTGTGTATAAAAATATTAATTCAAAAATAGACCAACTCGCACGCGTTCACCCCCGGTGAAAATCAACTCCGATCAGGCCGAGTCACAGTGACTATGGCCGATTTGCGTGGCTTGTGTGAGCATCAATCGAGTTAGATATATTTCAGGCGATTTGCAAGGCTGACCCACACTAAAAACCGCACTGTGTACATGGCTTACATCGTGTAATATCGAATTGGATCGAACTCAAATCTATTTGTATAGAATTCTGTCGATAAAACGACACCTTACATTTGCCTTACATCGCTTCAATTCTAGGCAATCAGATCTACCTCGGAATAACCCGAGTCATTTTTGACTGGGGTTCACCGACGAGTCCATCCCCGGTACTGCCAAACTCCGGTGTATCACTATCCGAAGTTCAAACCCTTTCCGAAGAACTGCCCATCACAGGTTTCACGCCAAGATCGAGGTCCACCCCCGTCAACACAATAGCACACAATGCGATTCCCATCTTGGTTCAAAGAACGCCGTCAGCTGGTCGCTTTTATTCAAAGTCTAAGCAAAGTCTAAGAGCTCTATCGCTTGGTTCTCTTCAGTCGCCAATATTGAAATACAAGGGCCGACACCGATTATTTTTACGCAGAAGCGCCTAGTCGATGTAAGTATTCGACACCGATGAGACGTTGCGCGCTACACTGTACGCATCTGGCTCGAAATTTTACGTTAGGCTTGAAGCTTTGACTCAGGCCAGAAGAGGTTAAAAGCTCCATGACAGGACTTTTTCGCCAAATTTCCACAACGTTCGACCCTTAATCCATCAACATCATATTCTTCCCATTTTGCGCGTACAGCAAAAAGGCAGATTGGTTTATTTTTTTGAAGCCAGGTTCACCTTTGGTTCCAAAGTGCGAGCTACTTACTCCTAGTCATCTTCGTGGTATGCCACCTCCCCAATCAAGAGCATCGTCGTCCGCGGAATCGACTCAAATATTGAGATGCGGCCACTTTGCGCCCGAAACAGTGGAATCTTTAGAGACGACCTGACCCCCGCAAGTTGCTCCCATCACAGCATCGGGGCTCCCTAATTTGGCTCCAACCAAATGTATTCAATTACATTCGACTTGAATTACGGTCTATCTACTCCAGTGCGAAACCAGTCTCGATCCAGCTTCGCTATGAGTAGTGTCAGCCTCCCTCGCCATTCGAGTCAAGATATCGAACGTTCCTCCTCGCCCTCCTTTATTTCTGCCGAGGACGTCAACTGCCCGTGCTGCAAGCGAAATCACGAAAAGATAATCAAGCTGGAAGCGAATTTCGTCTATATTTAACCCGTCAGTGCGAGGATTCTCCATTCCGTTCCCACTGCCTTATGGAGGCTTCCATTAATCAGCTCTTACGATACCACCTTTGCTCGCTCGTTTGCTTCTGCCATATGGACCAACCCTCGTTCTGGGAATTATAGCTATTTACCTTCGCATCCAGCTGCCTTATAAAACGGTAGGCAACCGAAGCTACTTCAGAGCAATCTCACTTGGGAATTCGATACACAACTACTCGCCCAGGATGCTGCTTTACGGCTGTTTCGTGTCCGCACTGCTCTGTGCATTCGTCGTTGCTGCCGCACCACCTCCTGAACTGGTCAAGCGACAGGCTATCACACCTCTCACTGCCACTCAGATTTCAGCATTCAAGCCGTTTACAATTTTTGCTAGCACGGCATATTGCAATCCATCCAACACGCTTGCCTGGAATTGTGGCGGTGAGTTCTTATTAATGTGGGAAAAAAATGCTACTAGCGACCTGACCTTATGTTCAGCGAATTGCAAAGCCAACGCAGACTTCCTGCCTGTAGCGTCCGGAGGCAGGACGGACAAGAGTCGACACACACACACAGAAATGAAATACGACACACGTGATGAAGAACGACACACCTGTCCAATGTTCAACACATTGATGGCAAATGTCGGTCACTTATTCAGGAATGTGTGTCGAATCTTATCCATACTATTTCGATAAATTCCGCCACAATGTTCCCTTTTTGGATTGAAAATCTGATGTGTGACGGCCAAATTAGATATTGAGCAATGAGTACATATACACCAAAAATTCTGTGGTTAAGTCGAAATCAGCCTCTCCATGCTCACGTAAAATTTGACATTATAAGTTTTATTCCTTACACTACTTACTATACATTAAGTTATACATAGATTCTAAGAGAGGGAGCAACATCGCGACCCCGGAATGTACCTACCAAGAATTCTCACCGTCGACAGCCTAGTTTCGGCACATCTGGGTGTCAACATGTGGTCTCCGCGGCCGTGGTCGAGTGAGACGCAGTGGTGGCCTCGTCGGAGAGGGCGCTGGCGTTTTCGCTGTCATTCGGGGCTGTTTAGTGGGGAGGCGCGGGGTACGCACCTGGCTGCACGGTGCTGTATTGCCTGTTGGTTCGCCAAGTGGCGCTGGGTCCTCGTCGATGGGCCTCAGTGCTGGATTCCGTCTGTTGGGGCATTTTCGTGAGCCGATTCCGTCAGCGTGGGTGGTTTATCCTGGGCGCTGAGTTGTTGCCGTGGGTAGTTGGGTGGTTTTGTGGGCGTTTTCACAGGCGGTTAGTCGTAGTCCACAGGTTGCGTTTGCGAGGGGAGTTGATTTGGGGGCGGACGTGGCGTGAGGTGGGAGGAGCGCCCGGCTTTGCCCTGCTGGGCATTCGCCAGGTAATGGGGGGTGGGTTGTTAGCAAATACGGGGCTGAGCAGAGTCGGAACTCACCTGAAGGGGCCCGTAACCGTTCTCTCGGCCCTTGTTGGCCATAGCAAGGGTGTGAGGTGAGGAGGAAGAGAGCGCGGGGTGGTGGGGCACAGGCAAGCAAATGGTGGTCGTGGTCACTGGTGGTGATGAGAAAGCGGTCGTGACCAAGTCGTGACAGCGTTCATCACGCTCGTAACGGAGTTTCGAATTTATGCACGGCACACTCGAAAATGCGAAATCACGAAGAACGACACATTATTACCAGGTGTGTCGCTTCTCACATGATGTGTCCTACTCCTCATCTGTGTGTGTGTGTCTCCTCTTGTATATCCTCGTCCGGAGGCGACGGTGATGACGTTCAGTTTTGTAAACTCCATTTTTATCTTGAACATTTCCGACGACCGACATCAATTCGGTTAGGGTACGTTGGCTTCTCGCCTTCCCAGAAAACTGTCATCGTGGCCCATCAAGGAACTGATACATCGGAAATGTATGCTAAGCGTCATTCTCGGAAAACGAATATCACTTAATATTTTTTTCATACAGCGAAGCCGACGCGACGGATGTAGATGCAGTATTAGAGCCTCTGAATCCGACGCTGTTCCCCGGGATTAGCTCGTCCATTGAAGCGCATAGTGGATTCGCCAATGAACAAGCAAAGTACGCACCCGCAACATCGTACTAGTATTCCAATTTTTTTTAAACTTTTGCTTAGAACGGCTCCGACAATTCTAGCCGCTGTCCGGACGGCCATTTCTGCCCACGGCGCGACAAAGGTCACTATTGTCGGCCACTCCCTTGGTAGGTTACACCTGTTCGTCGGCGTCATCCCTGTCTCAAATAGTTTGCAGGTGCTGCGATTGCCTTACTTGACAGCGTCTACCTTCCTCTTCACGTAAGCGGGGTAACCTTCAGGACCGTTGGGTATGGCATGCCCAGGGTACGTCTTATTTGAACGCTAGCGAACGCTTTATTCATCATTAGCCACCGACTACTTCAAGGTCGGAAATCAGGCGTTTGCAAACTATGTTGACGCTCACCTTTCGCTGACACACATCAATAACAAGTGGGTACAACACTGTCTCCACGACAGAAACAAGTGTTCATTTCATGAATCAATTTGTTTCAGAAAGGACCTTGTCCCCATTGTACCAGGACGCTTTCTGGGGTATCACCACCCTTCTGGGGAGGTGCACATCACGGAGTCCGGATCGTGGGTTTCGTGTCCAGGTACCGAGACTCATAACATAGGTTTTGATTGTTAGCTCACCACGTTCATTTATACTTATACAGGCCAAGACAATCCCAGCAATGAATGCATCGTTGGCGACGTTCCGAACATATTTGAAGGAAATACTAATGACCACCACGGTCCATATGATGGTGTCTTCATGGGATGCTGATTTTACTGGAAGGTGGAAGTGATTTGTAATTTATATTTGAATTATTTCTTGGACCTGTAACGGAATGCTGTCTATTAATCACAGACGAACGCGTTCTTTCCACTCGCAAAATTCTGTATTGGGTCTCCTGCTAAATATCATATCTCCCAATCGAGCAATTTGGAAGAGATGTTACCACTTGATATGAAAGGAGATGAACCGGATATACAAACCAAGTTGGCGTGAGGCCTTGAGTGTGGTTTAACCTTGAAGTTGACCACGGTCTGTTGTCAGAGCAGGCAAAAACAGTCGCGTCGTGTCCATTTCAGGTCCAAGAAACAGACGCTGTCGGGTTAATTGAACCGTGACGTTTGTGAGTTGCTAAAATCCATGACCCTTAGGACTTTTATTTGCAAACTCGGAGGAAGCAGCAATGCACTTGACTCACAATGCCCGACATGAAATCAGAAGAGGTTCCATTGCTTCCTCCAAAAGTTAACTATCAGCCCAACCAATCTTTGACAACTTATACGCGCCCTCATCAGCCCTTCCCACACCTCCCTGCCTTCCCACAGCCTCCCGATCCAAAATAACCAACCCATCGCCCGAGCCAGCGAACGGGAACAAGGCATCAACAGTGCCATCCATACCTTCATGCCTACCCGTCGTCCTTACAGGAATAAAAAGCCAAAACACCCCACCAGCAAGTTCTGATCCCTGGGTAGGGCGAACAAGAAGCCGCTCAACGCATTTCTTAATCCACTCGGCGTGGTTGGGGTGGTACACGACGTCTGCGGCTAGTATGATATCGAATGGTTTGTCGAATGGTGCCTCGTACACCGGGTTCTCCCAGTCCAAGGCCCTGACGACAATCGGCGCGGTCCCGGGGAAGTTTGTTGATACGTTAACTGATAGATTCGCTAGGACGTCTGGGTGATAATCGGTCGCGATGATTTCTGGGGTGCCTTGTAAGGCAGTAATATCGGCCTCAGTGCATTGTTGCCGTAGCAGTTTGGCAGCGACGATGCTCAGCATCCCAGTGCCTGCCCCCAACTCCAATATTCGGAGTGGTCTCTTCCTCAAATCTGAATCTGAACGCACGGGTAAAAACGTAGCTGGAGACGCACACATCCGCTCCGCGAGCAGAATGGAGCTCCCCCAGCTTTGCAGCCCAACCGAGGTATGATCCTCGTTCGAAAGGGGGGCGTCGTTGAGCTCAACCTGAATTTGGCAGTCACCCACGGCGGTGGAAAACGTGAACGAGCGGGTGAGCGCTACTTCTGGCTCTTCGCCCCCGCCGGAGAAAGCTGACAAAAGGGAGATAGCCTCGTCAAAGATCTGGGACCTCTCCTCCGCTTCTACGTCTGACCCCGACGCCTCTATCCAAGTGTCTGCGCGGGCAACAAAGCCGGTGATCCATCTAACAGCAAAAGCGCGCTCCAATGGATCTGCACGAAGAAGTTGTGCGGCATCTTCATCGTCGTCTTCCGCCCGAAATCCATCTTCATTCTCTCCCTCTCCCTCCTCCTCCTCGGCGGAAGCATAACCGGAATCCGGGACCACCGATGTAGGTCGCCGGATAGTTCGCTTCGGAATAACCATAGAAAGCTTGGTTGGAAGGCGCGGTTTCGGGAAATAAAGATCCCACAAATTCTGCAATCCACACAGAATTTGTTCTGTCGAGTGTAAAGACAGGCGCCCAAGGGGCGGTAAAGTCGTTGTAGGGTTCATCGGCGGTCTCGCTGGAAGTCGAGCCCTGGTAAAAATGGGGGTTGAAAGGTCCATCCTCGTCGCCATATGAGCGAAAGTCTAAAATATTAAAAAGAACTAGATGTCGGATTGTTGTAGTCGGGGAACGTGGAGAGCTTGATCGTCTATAGGGTATCTTCTAGTTTTCTAGGGTTGTCTATGTCGGAGCGGGGGATGGCAAGGGTCTTTCGGTACCCAAGCCTATTGCACAAAGATAGGCATCGTGAAAGAGGGGAAGGGAGCAACAAATGCGCGCAGGTCGGCATTTTATTTATCTGGAAGAGCCAAAAAAAAATTGACGCACGTGGTGGCGGTGCTGAACAAATGGGTCAAGAAAATCGCGAGGCCTCCTTGACCATATCGATGAGGGATTCCAGCCTATTCCAGGTGATCAAGCTCAACGAGTCGCCAACTAAATTTCTATGCTTCCGCGCCATTTGCTTACGTTCAACAATTTCATTTTCATTGAGTTTCAATTCATATTCTTGAATGCAACCCGGAAATTTTGGATGTCCTCTTGGATGTGTTGATCGTTCGAGGTTTACATAAAGGTCACAATAAGTGAGGCGACTCGGGCGGAAGATTACTCAGAGAGGTCTTGCCAGTAAGATGACTTGCATGGCACTCGGAGATCATCATGGTGAATGGGTGAGATGGTGCAGAGCAACAACTGCAAACAGTCCTCGATGTCACCAACGATAACGATTACCTACGAGGTGAAGCCACCAACAAGCATCGACGCTGAGGGTTTGGCAAGCGCAAAGACCGGTAATTTCAACGTCAAAAGTACACCTGCCGATGGTCACAAGGTCTACTATACGGCACTGAGAGAGGCGATCGAGGAAGCGAGGAATCAGGTCGGGGATGAGCTGACGGTGTGGAGGGATCGAGTGGGCAAGGCAGAGTTGACGAAAGAACCAAAGAAGGCGGACGACGACGAAGAGGGCGAGGAGGAAGAACAGCCGGAAGTGTAAAAAAAATTATGGTTCGTAGCTGAACATTTACTTCACCTCTGGTACAATGAATGTTATATGTAGTGGGTGGAATAAAGATCCAACGAATGGGATTCTGCAAAGAAGAACATCCAATCTATTTACCCCGCTTCTCCACACCCCGAGGGCGCTCGCGAATGACCATCTTGTTGCTATTTTTCGGGCCTTTAGGTCCAGGTTTCCTTGTCCTGGTACCCTTTGTGCCCCAGCCCCAAATAGACACAGGATGCTTGTTAGACTTGGACTTTCCACGTCCACCACCGTGAGGATGGTCATAACTAAATAAGAGCAGCATCAAAACAAGTGACGAAAGAACTAGAAAAAGAAAAACGTACGCGCTCATAGCGACACCACGAACAGAGGGTCGAATCCCCAACCAACGAGCCCTACCAGCTTTACCCAGCTGTCGGCTTTTCCACATTGAATTGCTGACCTTTCCGATAGTCGCACAGCAGTCCTTCAGCACCTTGCGCACTTCCCCACTCTGCAGCCGGACCTGGACATATCGGCCTCCTTCCTCATGGGCGATAACCTGCCCAAACGAACCAGCGGACCTGACGAGGATGCCAGGGCCTTTGGGGGAAAGCGCAACGTTGTTAATGACGGTGCCGGGGGGAATCAATCGCAGAGGAAGGACGTTGCCCGGTTTGAGTGTCATTGAGCGTAGAATACCCATTGCGAGCGATTGTGCAGAATTATCCGTCTCAACTTGTTCCCCCTCCTCATTCACCTCTAGGGTTTTGGCCTTCTGCTCAGGGACTTCGAACCCGGGGATGAACCCGTCAGGAATCCCCTGCCTGAAGCTCTGCACTTCATCACCAGCCCTCATGCCCTCCGTCGCGATGATATAGCTCCATTTCTTCGTCGCCTCCGCGGTAGGGTCCTTATTGAATAGCAGGGCGATATGCGCCGAACGACCAGGGTCGTACTCTATCCTCACGACGTTATGAACTCCCGGCGCATCACGCATGTAATCCAAGGTGCGTATACGTTGTCTATGTCCACCACCACGGTGCCTCACAGTGATGTGGCCATGAGAGTTCCTCCCCCCATTCTTGCGCCGTGCGACGGTGAGCGCACGTATTGGTCTGCCCTCATACAAGTGGGGCACGAGTGGTCGGCGGAGGTGGCGAATACCTGGTGATACAGGCTTGTATTTCTTGAAGAGGTCTTGGGTACGGGCAAGAGCGGCTTCGACCTCTACGTTTTTAGTGTGTTTCCAGATTTCAGTGGCATAGCTGCGAGAATGAGATGAACACGCCGAGAGTGGTGGTTTCGAGGGTATTAGGAACGTTGAGAACGTCCTCAACAGCGACGAGCTGCTGCCCCGAATCGAGGCCAGCATGAAGTAAATTTGATGTGACCAGAACGGGATTTGAGAAATTCAAGTTTGTTTGGCTCATACACAAACCCGACGCGCCTCTCTTCCATCATGGTAAGCCAAAACGCCCTCAAAATCATGCTATGGCGCTCTAATCTCTTGAAAGGCGATGCAAATATCTACCGGGACATCTGAGCTTCGGGACATAACAAAAATGGAGCGAATTGGTGGGGAACTTGGCTATGTAGATCATGCAGTTTCTAACGACTCTAAACGCAGGTGCCCATTCACACATTCGCGGTCTGGGGCTCGACGATCGTTTAGAGCCTAGGCAAAACTCACAGGGACTCGTTGGACAGGTCAAGGCGCGCAAAGCAGCTGGGATGATCCTCAAAATGGTACAAGAGGGAAGGATTGCTGGTCGGGCGATGTTGTTTGCTGGACCACCGTCCACGGGAAAGACAGCTATTGCACTAGGTGAATTTCACTCTTTCCCAACGCCTCATTGACCAACTTTGGTTAGGCATGGCGCAGAGTCTCGGTTCTGATGTCCCATTCACAATGATTGCGGCGAGCGAGGTTTTCTCGTTGTCCATGTCCAAAACGGAGGCTCTCACGCAAGCATTTCGACGAAGTATTGGTGTGCGCATAAAAGAAGAGACAGAACTTGTTGAAGGAGAGGTCGTGGAGATACAAATTGACCGAAGTCTAACTGGAGTACGTATCCTGAGTCCGCTGACCACGACCTCGTTGATTCTCTGTCTAGGCTACTAAGACCGGGAAGCTGACGATAAAAACCACGGATATGGAGACTATATACGATTTAGGAACGAAAATGATCGACGCGTTGACAAAGGAGAAGGTGTTGGCAGGAGACGTCATCGCCATTGACAAGACCTCTGGCAAAATCACAAAACTCGGACGGTCCTTTGCGCGTTCAAGGGACTACGATGCCATGGGGGCCGATGTATGTCCTTCTTTTGACCCCTTTGCACAACAATAACACCGCGACAGACGAAATTTGTCCAATGCCCCGAAGGCGAAATCCAAAAACGAAAAGAGGTGGTCCACACCGTCTCACTACACGAAATCGACGTTATAAACAGTCGGACTCAAGGCTTCCTCGCGCTATTTGCTGGTGACACCGGGGAGATAAAACCCGAGCTTAGAAACCAGATCAACACCAAAGTAGCTGAGTGGCGGGAGGAAGGCAAGGCCGAAATCATCCCTGGTGTAAATTCACTCAACCACTTTTCTCGAGGACACACCTCACCCATTCATTGTTGTCCTAGGTTCTATTCATCGACGAAGTGCACATGCTCGACATTGAATGCTTCTCGTTCCTCAACCGGGCTTTAGAAAATGACCTTGCCCCTCTGGTGATCATGGCCTCCAACCGTGGCATGGCGCGCATCCGGGGCACCAAGTTCAGAAGCCCGCATGGGCTGCCGATGGACCTCCTTGATCGCGTCTTAATAGTCAGCACGAAGCCGTATACAGAAAGCGATATCCGGGAAATCATCCAGATTCGGTATGTCATTATCCGCCACTACCCCGCTTCTACGTCAATCATCACTCCCACTCGTTCGATGGACGCGTAGGTGCCAAGAAGAGGACGTACAGCTGACGCCGGAAGCAAACAACGTATTGACCACGATGGCTCTGCAGACCACCTTGCGATACGCACTGAACCTCATCGCATGCGCCCAGGTCGTGTCGAGGAAACGCAAAGCCGAGTTGGTGGACGTGGAGGACTTGCGTCGATCGTACACCTACTTTATGGATGAGAAGCGGAGTGTGCAGTGGTTGAAGGAACAGCAGGGTTCTTTGATTTTTGAGGAGATAGAGGGGGGTGCAGATGACGTTATGGATAGTTCGTCATGATGCATGGAAGCGAGCGCTTTTTTGCCCGTTGACTGCAGGTTGACTGTTGATGCGGGCTTACAGGCCTCTCGATGTGTGTGTACGACTTTCCACCCCTATTGTACGCGATCCCTGTTTGATTATTGATGCTGGGCTTGCTTATCTCTTCTTATCTACTCCGTTGACCCATCGGGGACCTCGATACAATTGAGTCTTTTCAATCAAGTCATCCACCTACGCGACCGGAGTAGAAAAAGCGCCTTCGCCCGAACTTGAATTGACGGTTGCGCATAACGGTGTTTATTTACCTGGTATCGATTCACCATGTCACTGGCGACCGCGAATTCGCTGCAACCTCGGATCCAACTGGATACTTCCATTGAGCTCGCAGTCACTATCGATACCAGAGAGTTGGCGAATTCGAAGACGCTCACTAATACTCGGAATTCACCGGTTGGCAGAAAACAAGCTTCACGACGCATCCGGGAGTACTAATTATAACTGATCATGGCATGTCACTTGAACAACGTTAACACTGACAAAAGTCTGCAGGTACCCCATAAGAACACAAAAGCCGTCAGGTGCTCACCCAACCAAGTACAAGAAGGCCAGGAGACGCCGTGGCACCATTCATGTCCTTCTGGTCAGCTATGCTGTAAGAGCGTGAGCTAAGATCATACGGTACCGGCGAGGGACATCATGGAATCGAAGACGTGAAGTGGATGCATTTCTCCCACCGCTGGCGACAATGAAAATTTGCACCTTCAACTTGACATCTTCGTTGTTATGCCCATGACGCCCGGTCTAAGCTTATTCGGAGCCCGAAGTGTCCCTAGGTCTCATTTAAGCGTTTATACATAAGTGGACCAACAGAGTTCCTTCACTTCATTCGCCTCCCTTACCTCCGTCACAACCCCACTCCCTCCTCCTACCCCAAAGCCCGCCTAGCCCCTCGAAATGCTGGTAAGTGGTTCAAGTGGTCAAATCCTACCCTTGTCCAACGTCGCCCCTTTGCTTCAGCCACCAGTCAAGGTATCAATAGCGAAAACACTCTTTCGCAGCAAAGCAAGTCTTCGCGTACAACCTACTCGCAACATCATGCTGATCGAACCACTGAGTAGTCGCAATGCAAGTCGCAAAAGAGTCCCACATCAGATGATGGACGGGCAAGCCCCATCTCGCGCAGCGGTACTCTGGTACGGGTATTGTACTCCTCCCCTGGATTGCTTGTCCTGAAAACCGTTTTGTAGAACGTGGATTTGCCTGAGGTTGCGCCTCACACATTGACGGAGGATGTGCGCCCCATATTTGAGGTGAGCTATTCTTAAGTCTTTACCAGCTTGTCAACTCAGGGCGATCCACGAACAGGAGGATGACATGATTGATGTCGAAGATAGAGCATGGGGCTCACCACCACCGATGCGCCTGAATTGGACCCTGCCAAAGTTATCATGGCGATCATATCGGACTTGAAGCAAGAGCGAGCCAAAGGAGAATACCCCAATGTACTTATATTGCCAGATCGGCTGCTTTCGAGCGCACTGCCCCCGCGATGTTGATCATACCGGGCATCCACGTTCCTTCAGAAGGGTTTTTTTTGTTATATTAGTGATTTTCTGTCCCGTAATGACTTTCGGGAATGACAGCGGCGTAATGGAATCGGATAACACAAAAGACCTAAGGGAATATGAGTTACAAACTTGGTAGTCAACCAAATCTCTGCTTCGCGAGCTGCTGGAACATGTCCATCGTTGCCTGCGATGAAAAGGTCAGTCAGGATATGGGAAATCTACGGGAAAAGAACGGCCGACCTTCTCCTTCTCTTTGAAGACATTGGCTCGTTCTCGTGTTGCTGCTTCCCTCTCATCTCCTTTCTTGTTTTCAAAGCGTTTCCTTGCCGCATCCCTCTTTGCAATCCTGATGGAGACGTTAGTGTGTGACCCAAGTGGCGGGCAGCGAGCACGCACTGATCCTTGAAGCTGTCACCTCCACCCAGCAAAGTTGATTCATCAAGCTCTAGCCCATCGTCCCCCCTCTCCCTAAAAGCCCGATCATTTTCCCTCTTTGCTCGTTTCTTCTCAAGCATACCCTCCCTTCCAACCTCTTTAGGCCCTACCGCATCCTCAACTCGCTCTTTAGCCTCAGCTTTATCCCGTTTCCGTTTATAAGCCCTCATTTCGTCCTGTTGTTCCGCGTTCATCTCCCGAGCGAGCGTCAGATCGGAAGCAGATGGCAAAGTCGGACCTTTGACCCGACTCGAACCGCTCGCTCGTGAACTCGATCCCAATTCGTGCGACGAGATTTCTCGACCATAAGTTGCAGAGCTTACTTGCTCCCGAGCAGCTTGGAGAGCATCATCATCTGCCCGATTTCTTTTGGAAGCAAAAGACCACTTGTAAGCCGTGTTTGTCGTCGCTGGTATTGACATGGGGTCAATGCCGACGTAGTAGTTCTCTACATTTTGAGCATCAGTGGTGTTTTTCAACCTAAATGAGAAAGAAATACTGGAAAGATTCCCCCTATTCCATGCCTTGAAAATCTCAGAATCACTCTCCATCTCTTGATGTATCTGAGCGTACCTTTACGAACTTCCGGAAATAACTGGTCTTCCAATTAGAACCGGCACGCATCTAGAAATTGAAGAACGTACTTTCTCGCTCTCTCTCCAGATAGGCCGTCAAAATACTGAGAAGCAATAGTCAACGCTATAGCCATTATTCAAAATGACAAAGTAACGCACTTTTCCCTTCTCATTCTTCAACCACAATCTGAACTCGTCACTTTTTTGGAAATAGTCAGCCTCTGTGATGGGCAACGCAGAATTTGGAAGTTGGACACGTCTTTCCGGAGACCTTGAGCGGTCCCTTGATCTATCCCGCGACCTTTCTCTTGAATTAGAGCGACGAGAAGGCATAACAAGTTGTTGGGTGATTTGTGAGCACTTCCAATGTCTAAAGTATCTTTTCAGGTCGTCAAGAACTAAGCATAAGAAACCAAAGGAAGAACATACATTTATATTGTCTTGCACTGACAGAGTGTTTGGTTTGTGACTCGTAGGTTTTGTTGCAGTGGAGGCTAGCAACCCGATGATGTTTGCCGACATTTGGCTGAGCTTTTGACAAGAACGGTCTACAACTACCCTTGTACTACCCTCTACTGAATCAATCGTTGAGGATCCGTCAATGTCTCTTGGTCGTCTCAAGTGCAGCACTTGCGGTTCATCTCTACACGAGCTTCCGCTCCTATCTTTCGATGCATCTGCCACCCCACCTCATCATGATCTCTTGACCGCGAACGATCAACCCCGACAACAGGACGTCCAAACCATCGAGAATTGCGTCCAAGATCATGAATCCAAAGCATCCGAGCTCGATAAACTGCTTAAAGATATTAAACAAGCGTGCCAGCTCGTTGATTCTCGTCGTCAAGCACACATAAAACTCGCAGAGGCGTATAAGGGCACTTTGTCTGCGATTCGCAAATTTCCCGCTGAACTTCTGGAGGAAATATTCTTGCTTTGTGTCAGGTCGTGTCCCGATGCGATATCACCCCGTGGGCCTCCATGGGTCTTGGGAAAGGTGTGCCGTCGATGGAGGTCGATTGTGTTATCCGCCCCACAGCTGTGGAGTGTAATACCTCCTCTACATAGTTCGACTGGTCTTATATCAACCGACAGTATTTATCTCAAGCGTCTTTCAACGTCGTTACGACTCTCCCGCACATTCCCGCTGCGTTTCGAACTCTTTCTAAGATCAATCGCGAAACCCGTCTGCCCAGTCCTCGATGTCATTTCTCCACATATGAACCATTGCCAGTCTCTGAAGATAACCACAACGGCAGACAACCTCCCCCTCCTTGACCAGGCATTTCGAGGTACAAGCTGCAGCATGCGAAGCCTCGCCATTTCTCTCCTTGGAACATCTGACACCTTTTCGGATTATCAGTCCCTTTCCACCTTCCAGCGTTCACTGAATATTCGAGATTTGCGATTTCATGGGCCCGGCTTCTCCCGGTCCCACCTCACAAGTAGCCCCTTTATGCATTCTTGGCTTAGAATTCCATGGGGCAACTTGACGAGCTTTGTTGGTGGTCACCTGCAAGTGCAGTATGTCACAGACTTGCTCCATCATGCCCCATCATTAGTCGAATGCTCTTTCACCGATCTAACTCCCTTCGGAACGAGCAACTTTACGACTGTTGACCACGGCAGTCTGTGTTTACTTGATTTGAGCATCGACGCTGACGTATTATCGTCAGGTTTCTTGGATCACTTAACGCTGCCGTCCTTGGGTACGCTGTCGATACCCCTAGCTCCTGGAGTTACAGTAGGGTCCATTACATCTTTTTTTGCAAGATCCTCCTGCTCGCTCTCCACCCTAAAGTTTACAGGGGTGCTCTCAACGACATGGTCCCTCTCCTGGCTTCCCTCGCAAAGGCACCATTGACGAACTTGATTCTTGACTTCGACTGGGAGACTTCTCTTGATGTGATCCATCTTGATTTTCTGATAGGACAGCCCTTGGGAGAGCTGCCTTTCCTTCCCCATCTCCAGCATATTACCATGAGTTACCCTGACTCAGAGCCACAGCCGAGCTCGAGGTCCTTCAACCGACTGATTGAATGCCGGTTACATCTGTCCAGAACACTGGGTACAAAGCCTTTGGAAACGGTTACTTTGAGATGTGCAGACTTGAGGACAGCTAGAGCGATCTTCAATGACCTAGAAGGCTGGCAGGACAATTCTCTTCGGCATGGGCAGGTGCCGTATACCAAGATTAGTGACTGGTTGCGGGTATTCCGAAAGACGCTTGGGCGTCAACCGACGCTGCTTGAGAATAAGGTAAACAGCATGTTCATCTACATAATTTCATGCTGACAGGTTTCCGTCCTAGAGAGAGACCCGGCTGCATGAAGTTTTCCTCGAGATTGAGCAGTGCGATTACCTTAACATCTCGCCCATGTTCATCCACGTGCGTACCTTTTCTGCGAATTCTCGATGATACCTTTAGATCTAACTCTCTTTTTCACATACCTCAGAGATCTACGATATGCGATTACCTACGCCATATCACCGAACTACCCGATACAAGCTTTGGGAAAGAGGAGCAGTATCAACTCCGTCAGCGTGCGAGTATTATTATAAAGCGTTGGAAAGATGTCTTGAGAGAATATCTTGGCCACCCGGGTTGGAGTATGAGGAAGCAGGATGATCCATCTGGGTTTAGGTATGCCCTTTTCTACTCAACAGCTGGACGTGACTACCATACCTTTCCGCCGTCCGAAATTTACTAAGTAGACCAATGAGGAATTACGCTCGATGAAGCTTCATGTGCAAACGTTCAATTGTCATATTTCTGACCCAGAGCGTCCATGATTAGCCACATCATAGAAATGATTAAGAGATGATACAGTGGCAGTCGACGCCGGGAGAGCGTCAAGGTCTTCGCTGATGGTTGTTTGCCGATATTTGGCTGCAATTTGGCCGAGCCCTACAACTCTCTACAACTACCCTACACTGAATCAACATTAATCAACCATCGAGGATACTGCAATGTCTCTTGGCCATCTCAAGTGCCGCACTTGCGGTACATCTCTATGCGAGCTTCCACTGCTACCTTCCGATGCATCTGGCCTGCCCCATCATGCTCTTCTAAACTCGAATGATCAACCACGACAAAAGGACATCCAAACCATCGAGAATTGCGTCCAAGATCATGAATCCAAAGCATCCGAAATCGAAAAACTGCTGAAAGACATTGAACAAGCATACCAGCTCGTTGATGATCGTCGTAAAGCACACATAAAACTCGCAGAGGCGTATAGGGGCACTTTGTCTGCGATTCGTAGATTTCCCACTGAACTTCTGGAGGAAATATTCTTGCTTTGTGTCAGGTCATGTTCTAATGCGATGTCATCCCGTGGGCCTCCATGGGTCTTGGGAAAGGTGTGCCGTCGATGGAGGTTGATTGTGTTATCCGCCCCACAGCTGTGGAGTGTAATACCTCTTCTAAGCAGTTCGACTGGTACTACATCAGACGACAGTGGCTATCTCAAGCGTCTTTCAACGTCGTTACGACTCTCCCGCACGTTCCCGCTGCATTTCGAACTCTCACTAATATCAAACACAGAGCTCGCCCGTCCAGTCTTCAATGTCATTTATCCGTATATGAACCATTGTCAGTCTCTGAAGATAATCACAGGGGTAGAACATCTCCCCCTCCTTGACCAGGCATTCCGAGGTACAACCTGCAGCATACGAAGCCTCGCCATCTCTCTCCGTGATACCTCTACCTTTTCGGATTATCAGTCCCTTTCCACCTTCCAGCTTTCACCGAATATTCGAGATTTGCGATTTAGTGCGCCCAGCTTGTCCTGGTTTTATCTCACAGATAGCCCCTCAATGCATTCTTGGCTTAAAATCCCATGGAGCAACTTGACGAGCTTTGTTGGTGATCACCTGCAAGTGCAATATGTCACAGACTTGCTCCATCATGCCCCATCATTAGTTGAATGCTCGTTCACCGGTTTAACTGACTCCGGAATGAGCAACTTTATGACTGTTGACCACGGCAGTCTGTGTTTACTTGATTTGAGCATCAGGGCTAACATATTATCGTCAGGCTTCTTGGATTATTTAACACTGCCGTTCTTGGCTACGCTGTCGATCCCCCTAGCTTCTGGATGTACAGTAGGGTCCATGACATCTTTTTTTGCAAGATCCTCCTGCTCGCTCTCCACCCTAAAATTAACGGGGGTTGCTCTCAACGGGGTGGTCCCTCTCATGGCTTCTCTCGAAAAGGCACCATTGACGAACTTGATTCTTGAGTTCGTCCGGGAGACTTCTATTGATGCGATCCATCTTGATTTTCTGATAGGACAGCCATCGGGAGAAAAGCTGCCTTTCCTTCCCCATCTCCAGCATATTACCATTGCGTACCCCGGGCCTGACTCAGAGCCACAACCGGGCTCGAGGTCGTTTACTTCCCTCGACCAACTGATTGAATCCCGGTTATATCTGTCCAGAACGCTAGGTACCAAGCCTTTGGAAACGGTTACTTTGAGATGTACAGACTTTTGGACAGCTAGAGCTATCTTCGATGAGGTAGATGGCTGGCCGGACAACTCTCCACGGCATGGGCAGGTGACGTATCTCAAGATCAGTGACTGGTTGCGGGTATTCAAAAATACACTTGAGCGTCAATCGGCGCTGCTTGAGAATAAGGTGAACAGCGTGTTCATCTACCTAATTGCCTTCTCATGGGTTTCTGTCCTAGGGAGAGACCTCACTCCATGAAGTTATCCTCGAGATTGAGCAGTGCGATTACCTTAACATCTCGCCCATGTTCATCCACGTGCGTACTTTTTTTTTTGCGATTTCTCGATGACATCACTAGATCTAAATATCTTTTTAACATACATCAGAGGTTTACGATATGCGACCACCTACGCCGTATCACCGAACTACCCGATACGAGCTTTGAAAGAGAGGATCGGTATCAACTCCGTCAGCGTGCAAGTATCATTCTAAAGTGTTGGAAAGATGTTTTGAGAGAATATCTTGGCCGCCCGGGTTGGAGTATGAGGAAGCAGGATGCTCCACTTGGGATTAAGTATGCCCTTTTCTACTCAACAGCTGGACGTGACTACCATACCTTTCCGCCGTTCTAGTTATCTACGAAAATGAGGAACTACGCTCACAGAAGCTCAGTTCTCAAATTTCTGACCCAGAACGTCCATGATTAACCACAACTTAATAAAAACCCTGTCGTTGTTTTTATTACGGAAGGCAACATAATTTTATTACAGTCTCCGCCGCCCCTCCCGGGTATGTGTTCTAGGACTTCATCGTCGATCATAGATTCGGGAATCCATGGTGACGGCCCGGGGCCGTCTGTTAAAGTGATACTTAACGATGCACTTCCAAGTTCAGACGGGAGAGCGCCAAGCGCTAATCGCCGTTAGCTCCCGGTTGGGTCGGTATATTCATAATTTCATTCTTCTTGTCATATTCCTTCCGCAAGAGCACATCCGTCCCTTTCGCCATTCAGGGTCATCCTAGAAGCGCAATGAAGTCGACGGCGTCATGGCTATCATAGGCCAAAGCAATAGGATAATTCTATTTGTGAACCCCCCTCACGCGTGAACCCCCTCCTCTTCTATGTAAGAACCCGGTTCACACGGTCGGAGGTCCGGTTCAGCGGCGGATGTCATTAATTACATAATTGACTAATTCATTGATTGTGGACGTGTCGAGGGGTAGGCGCAAAGCACGCACTCAATTCATGAAAGTAGATGAAAGGAAGTAGTGCCACCTCAGCCTGCTGAAAGACAGGTAGGAGTTTTGTGCAAAAGGCCCTCCACCTCCGCTTCGACAACCACGAACAAGCCATCTTGGAAATCCCAGCCGAGCATACCGACCCTTCGTTCTTCTCCACCGCAAGCGAAGCGATCACCATGGAATTCGGAATTCACATCAGACGTGTTGAAATCTTGGTTCCCAGCGTATTGGCCTACGACCCCTGGAAAGACAACTCGGAGCTCGGAATAAATTACAACGGAAAGACTAGACGGTCTGGCACTCGAAAAGTGGTGGGAAAAGATCCAAAAGGGAAATGGGACAAAGATTTTGAATGTAGATTACGCATTTGAGAGTGCGGTGTATGACCAATTTGCGAGTTTGTGTTTCAAGAAGCATGTTGGAGATGCGTCTGCTGCACCGGGAAAACCTGGTCAAGGAGGACCTTGAGCTGGTGAAGGTTATGCAAATTTTGGAGACTCACTGGGACGTATAAGATTGGGTCCATTACCGAACGGTTGTGGTGGCGAGATGGGAGGGGAATGTTGGATGTTGACCATGGCCCGTGTACATCCACTCTTGAGGCTGAACTTCTTCGCTTTCGCTAACTTCCCCTGTAGTTCCCAATATAACATCTTGTCTGCTGGCAGAGGCAGACTTGGGGCGTGCTTGGATCAAGAAAACCGAGTTTGAAAGGCAATCACCCCGTCAGCACTGTCCAGCTTTCCACACTGCAGAAGAGCACCTGAACATCCTCGACAGATTCACCGAGCTGATCCCCAAAATCCAGCTGTCTCCATGGCCTAACCTGTGGCATCCAGAATTTGCTCACTGGGATGTCCGCAACACGGAGAAAACCTGGCATGATTCAATGGGATGATCAACTGGCAAGGCGCCTCCGTTGCGCCGTTTTCATGCAAGCCACATTTCCCAAGATGTTCGTGTATCATATCGATATGTGATACCAGCTGACTTCCCATTTTTTGTCCAGCATCCCCCAGAGAGAATGGGAAAAGTTTCACCATGACTTCCAAACGAGTTCAAGAGCCTTGCCCGTGAGATTCTATATTGGAAGTTGGCTGGATAATGGGTGGTTCGTCGGTGAGAAAGACGGCGCATGCGACGCCTGGCTTATGCATCGTCAAACGCTGCCACGGTCAAATGGTGGGATAACTCAGACTGGCGGCGTCGCCGAAACTGGCCGAAAATGGATGAACCCTCATAACTTTCATATTTCTTTGTCAGCATCAACCCTGGGGTTCATCGCATGAAGGGGGTTCACAAATAGAATTATCCCAAGCAATATCTGGAATTTTTGTCTAAATAGAGGGATAATTCTATTTGTGAACCCCCTTCATGCGATGAACCCCAGGGTTGATGCTGACAAAGAAATATGAAAGTTATGAGGGTTCATCCATTTTCGGCCAGTTTCGGCGACGCCGCCAGTCTGAGTTATCCCACCATTTGACCGTGGCAGCGTTTGACGATGCATAAGCCAGGCGTCGCATGCGCCGTCTTTCTCACCGACGAACCACCCATTATCCAGCCAACTTCCAATATAGAATCTCACGGGCAAGGCTCTTGAACTCGTTTGGAAGTCATGGTGAAACTTTTCCCATTCTCTCTGGGGGATGCTGGACAAAAAATGGGAAGTCAGCTGGTATCACATATCGATATGATACACGAACATCTTGGGAAATGTGGCTTGCATGAAAACGGCGCAACGGAGGCGCCTTGCCAGTTGATCATCCCATTGAATCATGCCAGGTTTTCTCCGTGTTGCGGACATCCCAGTGAGCAAATTCTGGATGCCACAGGTTAGGCCATGGAGACAGCTGGATTTTGGGGATCAGCTCGGTGAATCTGTCGAGGATGTTCAGGTGCTCTTCTGCAGTGTGGAAAGCTGGACAGTGCTGACGGGGTGATTGCCTTTCAAACTCGGTTTTCTTGATCCAAGCACGCCCCAAGTCTGCCTCTGCCAGCAGACAAGATGTTATATTGGGAACTACAGGGGAAGTTAGCGAAAGCGAAGAAGTTCAGCCTCAAGAGTGGATGTACACGGGCCATGGTCAACATCCAACATTCCCCTCCCATCTCGCCACCACAACCGTTCGGTAATGGACCCAATCTTATACGTCCCAGTGAGTCTCCAAAATTTGCATAACCTTCACCAGCTCAAGGTCCTCCTTGACCAGGTTTTCCCGGTGCAGCAGACGCATCTCCAACATGCTTCTTGAAACACAAACTCGCAAATTGGTCATACACCGCACTCTCAAATGCGTAATCTACATTCAAAATCTTTGTCCCATTTCCCTTTTGGATCTTTTCCCACCACTTTTCGAGTGCCAGACCGTCTAGTCTTTCCGTTGTAATTTATTCCGAGCTCCGAGTTGTCTTTCCAGGGGTCGTAGGCCAATACGCTGGGAACCAAGATTTCAAACACGTCTGATGTGAATTCCGAATTCCATGGTGATCGCTTCGCTTGCGGTGGAGAAGAACGAAGGGTCGGTATGCTCGGCTGGGATTTCCAAGATGGCTTGTTCGTGGTTGTCGAAGCGGAGGTGGAGGGCCTTTTGCACAAAACTCCTACCTGTCTTTCAGCAGGCTGAGGTGGCACTACTTCCTTTCATCTACTTTCATGAATTGAGTGCGTGCTTTGCGCCTACCCCTCGACACGTCCACAATCAATGAATTAGTCAATTATGTAATTAATGACATCCGCCGCTGAACCGGACCTCCGACCGTGTGAACCGGGTTCTTACATAGAAGAGGAGGGGGTTCACGCGTGAGGGGGGTTCACAAATAGAATTATCCTAAATAGAGTCCGATAACTGTTCTCGAGCGCCCAGGGTTAAGCAAGACAGTAGTAAGAAGACCAGAGTACCAAACCCACCGTATCTAGATGTTCCATTGGAAGCGATCCGAAAGACACCCTACCTCTGTGACCTAAACGCGACGAACGAATTTGCGCTTGAACTTGCCTTGCAGTCAACTTGTAACAACGCGTAAACAAATTGCGGCTCCGCCCTTCCTCTTGCCTTCCCCTTAAGCTTGCCATCCCCCCTTCAACCAACCTTCAACGTTCCACGTTCAACCACATAGATTTGAGACCGATGGGCACAACCACTGCCTAATCATGCTTCAAGTTGAGGTCTGCTATTGTATCTTATCTACCATCCTTCCCAGAATTTCGGCTGTGGGTCCTGACTCCATCATGTACGTACGGCTGCGAAACTTATGAGTAACTTTGAGTAACTTGGAAGCTTCCATCTTTGAGTATGAATTAAAATACACAGGTCCCCGAAGCACTCATTCAACGCGTCAACACCACCGCTTATCATGTCCATCTTTCTCGGAATGGCCCGTGGTGCCCTTTGTCTTGTTGGAAATCATGTCGATGACCTGGCGCGGATTGCCATAACATCGGAGGCTCCACTGGATGCGAAAATTATGTTTGCAGACTCGAAATCGTATCACATCACCGTCTTGACGAAGGCAGAACTCAGAACCTTACCTGAGGACCGCGTTGCGGCCTTGAAAGCTGACACTCGCTACGTCTCCTCCGCAGGAATCGGGGGTGGACATGGGGTATTCTTTGTCGTCGTCATCTGGGCCGCAGGTCAGCAGCTCCGCAAGCAACTTGGACTCGCCCCGAAACAGTTCCATATCACCCTCTCTGAAGGTGATGACCATGAAATGGACAAAAGCGTAGAATCGTTACTACCAGGTCAATTCCCTATATGCCCTTCCCCCCAGTTGCTTGATCACCTCGCTTATACCCTGCATCTATCGGGGCAATATCAAACATCTCAGCATTACTCCGGAATGTTGATCGAAATCGATCCAGAGTCGCACAAGGGCTTTCTTCGGTTGGCGGACTCTTCTATATCGAAAAATCAGAGCAAGCTTGCCATGCTTTGTTATGCATGTGCACACGAACGTACGGATGATGGGAAAATTATGGCATATTGCATGAAGAAGCTCGCGGAGTGCTCAAGGGAGAGTGAATGGGGAACTGTGCTCCAGAATTACGAAATACCACAGATACCTGGCAATATTTCATCTATTTTGTTGGTGCCTTGGTCGGCTGAATTGTGGCAGACACTTGCCAATGCTAATATCTCCCCCTCGCTTTGCTTAGAATCTCGAGACATCCTTGTAGTCCCCTCACCCTTAAAATCACTCGGGAATAGTGAATACTACAAACTACCTCGCTTCTTCAGATGGCTTATACCAGGCTATTTCGCCATTATGTCCACCCCACGCAACGAAGACGATGTCTCTGTCCTATCATCGCCTCACCTTGGCATCCGTCATATTTTAACACTAACTGAAGAGACACCTCTCAAGAACTCCTGGTTCCACGGGAAATCGATCACCAATACATACTCCCCCATCCCAAACTATCATCCGCCATCGATTGAGCAAATGGACCTTATCCTTGATCTTTTCCAAGACCAAAACAAGCTTCCTCTCCTCGTGCATTGCGGCGGTGGAAAGGGCCGCGCAGGCACCGTTGCTGCCTGTTATATCGCAGCTTTTGGGTTTCAAAAGCTTAGCTTTGAACGAACACAGCCTGAGTTTCCAGCAGCGGAAGCTATGGCGCTACTCCGGTCGTTAAGACCTGGAAGCATTGAAACCTCGCATCAGGAAGAGTTCGTTTCCAAATGGTGTAGCACAATCTGGAAGCGACAGTCCATCTTTCCCGATCGACCCACAGAACCTCCACCTTGTGCCGTGGTAGTTGAAGGGTCGCTTAGCGAAGAGAATGACCTTTTTGTTTTAATGGGACTTCCGGGTTCGGGGAAGTCCTCGTTTTGCACGTCCTTGATGGCTCGAGATCCTGGTGGATGGAATCGCATATCTCAGGATGATTCTGGTAGCAGATTGGCTTGTGAGGCAGCGATAGGCCGAAAACCTAATGGGCGTGTGCTCCTTGATCGGTGCAATACAGCAGCTTCAGACAGAAAGGGATGGCTTGAACTTGTGTCGAACTGGTGCACCTCGCCCGTGTGCGTCTGGTTTGATTATGATCGTGATTTGTGCATCTCCCGTGCCCAACTACGCACAGGTCATCCCACTCTCCCTCCCGGAAATCGAGTAAGAAACGCGGTCGAGCAGATGGGCAAGATCTTCGCCCGGCCAACCTTGCGAGAAGGCTTCAAAGCCATTGTTATCATCCGATCATTCGCAGCAGCTCATGAGTTTGTCCTGCGCTTATCGCCCCCGATAACGGTGTACAAGTTTCCTCGCACTCCACACCTTCTTGACCTGGGAGCGGCTACATCGGATGACGTCCACGCAGACGTGTCTTCTCTCAGAATTGAAGGTCATGTTGTCATTACAGAGAAGGTTGATGGCGCCAACATGGGTTTCTCCCTTTCTTCAGATAGGTTGCAGATAGTTGTGCAAAACCGTTCCCACTATGTGAACTCATCGACACACGAGCAGTTCAAGAAGTTGGGATTGTGGGTTGAGAGACATAGAGAGGAATTATACCAACTCCTGGACCGCGATCCCTTCTTCGCAGAGCGCTACATCCTTTTCGGGGAATGGGTATTCGCCACACACTCCATTCCTTATACCCACCTTCCGGATTACTTCATTGCATATGATTTGTATGATCGCGCTACTCAAACTTGGGAGCATACACAAGGTCTCCGAAGGTTGCTCTCTTCCACTACAATTAGTGTGGTGCCCATTATCCATGAAGGAATCCCGCCAGCAGACGAGGTGTTACGAACTATGGTTCAGAGCAATTCGTCCTTCTACGATGGCAGAGTGGAGGGGGTGTATGTTAAAGTAGAGAGGGACAATCGAGTGGCATTCAGGGGAAAGATTGTCAGGGAAGACTTCATTGCTGGCAATGAACATTGGACTCGAGGGGGGTTGAGGGTTAATGGGTTAGATCAAAAGCTCGACGAGGAGCAGATGTCGATAAGAGAACCTTGATGGCCCGATAAATTGAACATGATAGCAAAATTGACAGCAGATAATTCGTGCAGAACCAAGACAACAGAAGGTATGTCGGATAGAGCCTTGAACACGAGAGAGGCCGCTTGTGATTCAAGCAATGGGAGTTTTGCAACCCATGATCCGGACTAAACTATAAGCCAAGCTGAGCACTACTTTGGTCTACAGTCGTGGACAAGCAAAGCCCACTAAAAAAATGGCTGACATAGCACTTCCTTTTTGAGTATCTGAAATGATGCATATTAGTTAGCTGAAGTTCCCAGTCAAATTTCAAAGAGATTTATCGAGCAGTTCTTGAGAAAATGTCTATTTAAGGAAATGGTCCCTGAAATTTTGGCAAAAACCCTTAAAAGGAAATGGAAAAATCCGAAAAAATGCGCAATCGCTTCCTTTCAATAGACGGAGCGTGTCCACCGCGTTTCAAAGGGTTTCATCGAGTGGTTGGCCCACAATAAAATCCTGAATTTGACTAATGCTGCCTAAGAAGAAAGTCAATGCCACCTCAGAAGCACTAAATGCTTGTCCTGCTGGCCGTTTATCAACCGATCATGGCAGTGGATGTCGGCTTATCACATCAGATTGACTGGGGAGGCTGCCCAGTGGGCTGTGCGAAAGCAAAAAGGGCAATGAAGCGTTTCGAGGACCGCAACGATGCATTTAGATACAGCTCTCAACTGAATTTTGTACATTACATTTGCAATTCTTGACCCTAAAAATTTGGCAATTACTAATTACTCGTGGGAAAAACTTCGGAGGGGGTGTTTTCGACGTCTTTTGAAAAACTGAGCAAGATTCTGAAAGAATCTCGCAATTTCATCGAGTTTTCGGTGAGAAAAGCGATTGGTGGGCTTTGCTTGTCCACGACTGTAAAAGAAGAGAAAATCTACCATCGGGTCCACCCAGACCAGACAGCATTTCCGTTGGATGAAACACGACAGAGCTGGAGCGTGGAATGGAGGAAGTTTGAGGGCGGTCTGTCAAGCCCCTAAAAATATTGAAAGCGGAAAGAGGTGTGGGCTTATCCAAGGGTCGGACAATCGGGCGTCGAGACTTCCGATACGCAGAAGTTCTGCAGAGAGGTAACATTGGTACAAAACCGTCTGATGCCACTCCAAACTGGACTTTCTGAGTTCCCATCGTACTCGTTTAAGATGCCATCAGCTGATCCCACCTGAGAAGGTGAACGGTGGGGTTCCTGTCATTCAGAGGCAGAAGAGACATGGGCCCACGTCTGGTCAAAGTCGAGCCCCCTCTGGAGAGCCAAACTTTGAGTTGATCGCCAAAAATTTGCTAGGGACGTAGACATAGGGCATATCGCCCGGTTTGGCAGAAGTTGCAGCATTAGGGTCTTGACGTACTGCCTGGCCAATGCCGCCGGGTCTGGTTCCCACTGTAAAGAGGAAGGAGCCACGGGGTTGGCTAAATTGGCGCAAGCATGTATCTACCGCCAAATCCCATGTGGCCTAGAGTGGATGTGCGTTGGTCCGGGGAAGAGGAGGGAAGGTGTGCGCTGTGCAGTGATAGTTCTTCATGATTCTTTCAGCAAGCGGCGGGTTTCGAAAAAGGGAGGCGATCGGTAAGTAAACTTTGGTGAAGATATCACGAGAAAATGTAGTTCGTCCCATGGTATCAGCGATTGCGGTCAATATCCAATTGAGTTCTCCCTGAGGGGTACGTCGGTCTTTGAGGTCGCCTAGAAGCTGCAGGACCATGTCAGCAGTGATGTTATTGGGAAGTTGGTGGTTTATGATAAAAAATCTCAGTGCAATGTCGATGGATGAGGTGAGACAGGAAGTGGAGACATCCGTCGGCATCGTGACATGTTCAATTTGCATACCCTCCCGCCCCTCACCCACTTTCTTCAGTCCTATACCGTTTTCTGGGTCCATCAGGGGCATTGAGCTGGCCAGTACCTCCCACCGGCCCTTGCGCATTTTGCATGAACGCGGGGTTGAAGTAGCCTTGCATACCAAATCCACCTCCTGCAGCGCCCATCACATCCAGTTGGGCTGGTAATTCTAGGCATGAAAGAAAGTCGTTCCTTCGCGCCACACCGCAGTTGCAGCGAACCAATCATGGCCCGAGCGCCATCAAGATATCCCGCCTGCATCATGTTGACTTCGTGGCCCTTTCGCTTCGCGAACATGTTTGAATTCTGCAATAGATGGCCGGTAGCAGAACAATCCCAAATATTAACTCCAGAAGACCCTAGCCAAGCTTGAACCACTTGTAGCGACACAGAGACGTTTTGCGTTGAATTCCTGTCTGAACACCGCAATTGTCGGTTTGGGAACCATGGTAGCAGAATGAAACTGCGTCGTCTTTCGCTTGCTTTCGTAGACTTTGACAAAATCAATGAAAACCTTCCAGAGATGGGTTTGTAGGCGATCTTGAGGGCTGAGTCCTTCGAATTGGTGCGGCAAATTGGTGTCAATCGCTTCAGGTGCCTTGTGGGTTGGCAAGGTATGAGGGTCGACCCAACACTCTAGATTCGCACTTCTGATTATGTCTGGTGGGTCTATGTCGATGTTAAGGTGCAGGATAAGGGCAACCTTTAAGTTTTCCGGGTGCGGAACCACGCCATGGAATAGGCTTCTTTGCAAAACCACGATAGGCCTGCCGCAGGTAAGATGTCATTTATCAGACTAACAAGGTATCGGGAGAGCTGTATCGGGGAAGGTATCGATTGGCCGTTGGTTCGGCCCTCGGCTCTGCTGCCAGTCGGGTCTCTCCGTTGCCGCGTTTGAGAGGTCGAAATCCGTAGTCGCGTTTGAGAGGCCGGATTAGAACGGAAATCTAGGTCTTCCCCAGATGCCAGCAGCTGTGACCCACATAACTCCAAAGACGTTAGAAGCATCTCACCGGTCGCAAGCTGAGGGACTCTGCGTGGAGCTGTGGTCTGGCCTGCTGTGAAAACATTCTTAACCTTCTTCAACGCTAACACCTCAAGCTCCGTCCAGAATGTCCGTGAAAAAGCTGAGCGTCCTATGCATTCGTGATGAGCAGCTACCAGGCTCATGATCGTGTCGATTAGCTTCGATAGTTGACTGTAACTGGATGATAGGTGATGGGGAGACGGAAGATGATGTTGAAATTGAGCTCGGTGTGACCGAGTTTGATTGACTTTCGCCAGTCTGCGATAGGGTGCGGGTTAGCCCTTATTGTGCTTCATCGTGACCGACAAGGTCAAGCCGCACGTGAGTTATAACCGACCCTCTCATTTCCATGAATCGTCGTGACTTTGGTGGTGATGCGTGCAAATCATAGCCTCCGGAGAGAGGCATACTTTGTTCCACAACCACGAGAGGGAGATTTCTCCCGGGGAGCCGGGACCTCAGCGGCGCACTATCTTGTCACGCTTTGCTTGGTAGCCCAGCCATCTTCTCAAACCACCTCACGGCAGCTGCAACCTTTCGTACGCACGGATCGCTGTCCCCAAGTCGCAGATCAGGTCTGAGCCTATTATCTTCATGCGTGTAAGGCATAGTGCGGTAACAAATCGTCATCGTAGACTTGAGGTTAGGCGACGCCGTCAGGGTTGGGGAGGTGTTGGGGACTGAAGTCGCTGTTACATCTGTATCGGTACAGTGGGTAAGTGATTGGTCGTAGACAAAGAACGTATAAGCACTCTCAATGAAGACGACATCCCCCCGCTTCATATCTCCACCCCAGGTTTCCGCGACCTCCCTCCATGCAGTGAGTTTACACACTGTGCCGGCCTCGTCACCAAGTATCACTTTCAAGATGGAAACCTCCTTGCCCGCGTCGGGACCTTTCTTTATCCGTATCGAATCGGGGCCTTCGACTTCAAGAATAGCCACGACGACTAGTGAGACTTTGCGCGATTTTGCGCCCGCCAGATGGGCTAAAGGGGTGACGTCGTGCAGATTGAAATGGAAGGTCGGAAAACGAGCAATAGAAGACGCGTCGGAGTATCCGATGGACTCGTCGAACCCCGATTCATCCTGGGTTTCCAGGAATTGCTGTTGTTGGGATTCATTAGAGGCCAGTTGGGATTGAGAGTTGAGCAAGGAGGGTGCGTCTTTGCTCTTTTCTCTCCGGCTCTCCGCGGTTGGAGGCCATGTAATTAGGGTGGTTTGGTCTACGATAGGAATGTCAGTACCCATCCCTTGTAGGCAGATCAGTCAACCGACCTCCAAGTTTCCGAGACTCATTCCCGTGCCTCAAATCGTCCTCTTCCAAGAGTGAATCGCCTTCTTCGTCTTTACTCTCATCGAAAATTACATTCTGGTATATGAGTGAGATTCTCCTGCTGGCCGCTTCGAGAGTGGCAGGAGGAAGAATAAAAGATTGTGTTCCAATGAAACGTGTCGACGAAGTTTTGGAGGGTAGACGAGAACTGGACGATACAGTTTGCCAATGGTACGCAGATGCCGCAGAGGAATCTATGTTCGCTAAGTCTTGAGCTGACGGCGCACCGAGAAAAACGCGATAGGGCATGGGAGGACAGACTCGGACGCCTAAATTTGGTGGGCGCTTGCTCAAGGGCCCCTTCAACAAACAACGCGTAAATAGTTGTAAACTACGATCGTCGTGAAAAAACAAAATTTTGGAGCACGGACAAGCAGGATAATCATTTCATCGACTTTTCGTTACAAAAGATATGTATTTAAATCATGGTGCGGCAAAGTGGACAACCGATCCACCATTTTCCGTTCCAGTGACGACGCCTTCGTAGGCCCACTGTTCAAAACACATGATTAAAAGTATAATTAATCGCAATAACGAGGATACGCACGTTCAAATATCCGCCATCTCCATTCCGAGTGAATGTACCTGACCTGAGCCAATAAAGCTCGTATCTAGCACCCGTGAATATGAGAAAAGAAACTTTATTCCCGGAAAAAAAGAACTGACCCAACCGTTCTGCCAAGGGAGATGTCAAGTTCATGATGACTGTGACCCCAGTCGACGCCCTCGGTACCGTCGAAAGCAGTTGTGTGATCAGAATCGCAGATGACCCAATTGAAGCCTGGCCATTGCTGTCCTGACTGGGTAACCGTGTCGATAGTAAAATGATCACGTTTCTAATGAGGTGCCTTGAATAAGCCTGTTATGAAAACTGCTCATTCCCGTACCGTGTTGTCCGCGTTTATCATGTCAATTATTCCCTCAACAAGATCAATAACAGCTTCAACGATTTCAACTGCTGCTTGGAGTTGCCGTGTTCCCAACGTTTCCGATTCAAGTTTTTCAATAACAGCGTCGACGACTTCATCTGCTGTTTGAAGTTGCCGTGTTTCCAAATTTTCTCCGAGAATCCGTTTAATGCTATCATCATTGGCGCGTACAACTTGGATCAAAGAGTTGTCGCTTCGCCGCGTCATATCGCCGTTTTGTATGTCACGTCCACCAACCACACCCAGAGGAGGCGCAACCGCAGCGTGCTCAGCACGCCTGATCGCCAACGGGGCAGCAGTGGCGACAGCGAAAAAGCCAAGAAAGACGAGGAAGAATTTCATGGTGAGGATAGTTGGAGGGGTGGGTGAGTGGAGAAAGCGAATCGTCACAGACGAGTTAGCACGTAGACCTGGACCTGCTCAGCTGGTGAGAATTGTAGACATGAGTTCGACCTGTTTTATAGGGCATTGAGGCGTCCTCTGAACGCGGATCAAGCGCACTACTGACGGATTTAAAACTGGCTTGGCAATAGTCAATTTCTGATGAACATTGCATGGAAAACGGCCTGAAAAACTCCGAGGCGTTCAAGTCGACGATTGCGCTATTTTAGCTTCTAAGATGGGCTGTCAATCAAGTGTGCCGCGACCGACTTCAAGCGGGCTTGAAAATGTTGATAGCATGTCCTGTTTACGGTGACTCCCTGTAAAGAAATTATGATTACCGCGTACTTCAACGTGGTATTCCGCGCAACAAGCAGGAGTTGCCAATGTGCACTTACGGGAGTTGGCAGAATGACACCGCACTCGACGGCACCTTCATTGAATTTGGACCGCCTTTGGTTATTGCGATACCGAAGAGGGGCCTCTCTGTTATCCTCAAACAGTGGATTCATCCTGCCAGTGCCACCATGCTAAGTAGATTGTACATTACTCGAACTTGTTCCTAGCGCTGGGGTGACTGGTGAAGCTTTGAAGACCCGAAAATCACACGAAAACCTAAATGAAGGGTTCGGGGGTGATGATTAGCATCGATGTGAAGCTAGTAGTCGAATCAAGGCAAGGCTGTGGCTGATTCTTTAAATCTTCGTGGTCTGCCTGATAGGCTATGCCATTGACTTCCCGACCACTCCTTACGGTGGACTCGAAGTGGACTCGTTCAATAAAGACGAACGCGCAGTCCGGATGGAGCCTGTCTGAGAAGAGTCGGTCTAGAGTGTTTCTAGTACTTCAGCAAGGAACACAGTAAGTAACATTGGATATAACCACTTACGATGTCCAGACATCTTTAGTAATACGAGTCTTATCTAAAGGGCTATTGGCCTTGATCGGTTCAGAGTGGGCATCCACGCGAACACTGTGTGACGCACCATAAAGTGTTAGCTGATGCAGCCCAACAGATGACGATGGCGTTCATTGAGACGTCGTTGATACTCCGAAAATTTGATGCAAGAGTAGTTGCGTATTACGTACGGTTATACCCTGTCGGGACTCCGGTTTGAAGATTGCCAACTTCAGGTGACGATGCTGGAGTAACGAAGCAGGCTTTTACGAGGGACACCGCTAAGGGTCTGTCCGGCAACGAGAATCCATTTTCATTCTCATTTTCATCTTCATTTGATGGCTGACAAATTGGGTCACACACCAAATTGGGCAACAACGATAACTGGGCTCCTTGCACAACCCACATTCCGTTGTTATATTTTCTATGTACAACACAGTAAGTTTCTACTGTCAGCTATAGCATGTATTTCTTTTCAATTTTTATTTTGCAAAAATCATGCATATTTACTTTATTCATGTAAATTACATACAACCAATCTGTATTTAAACTACCTACTTGTTGGTTCCACACCCATAGGCTGCTGTGATACCTATAATAAAGCCTATGGCATAACTTGATGGGTAAGGAACAGAAAAATTTGCTCCCCATAAGCACATATTTATTAAATGTAGTTGGAATGTAGTCAGGTTTCTGTTGCTGTCCAAAATTAATTCTTACAGAAATGCTTTAAGAAATAACAAAGTTTCCTGTTCCTTACCCATCAAGTTATGCCATAGGCTTTATTATAGGTATTACAGCAGCCTATGGGTGTAAAACCAACAAGTAGGTATTTTAAATACAGATTGGTTGTATGTAATTTACATGAATAAAGTAAATATGCATGATTTTTGCAAAATAAAAATTGAAAAGAAATACATGCTATAGCTGACAGTAGAAACTTACTGTGTTGTACATAGAAAATATAACAACGGAATGTGGGTTGTGCAAGGAGCCCAGTTATCGTTGTTGCCCAATTTGGTGTGTGACCCAATTTGTCAGCCATCAAATGAAGATGAAAACGAGAATGAAAATGGATTCTCGTTGCCGGACAGACCCTAACTCTGGAGCCTTGAACCTTTGTAATATCGGCACGAGAATAAGGGCTGCAGCCTTTGAGTAAATTAGAGGGGCCGCCGCGCGGAGCAGCCTTGAGGCTTAATTACTCGCTCTCGTGAATGCCACCACAATTTGGCGCGTAGGAAAGCATCCTGGATGATTACGTGGGTAAACTTGATTTCTTGAAGATACAATTAGGGTGAACCTGGACGACACGCATACGCTGAGCAAGCGGAGGCGGAATGGCGTCGAGTTGGCGCGAATTCCAGAAGAAGTTGGTAAGGTATGCACGTGCCGCATTCTGTATAACAAATACGCACGTGAGTGATCACTAAGAAAATGAATCTCTATAAAGACGACACAGATGACGGACTTTCATCGCAGAAATCCCCTCAAATCTTTACCTTGAATAATACCCTCAATTTTATAAACGATGCCCGTCAAAACCTTTAGCTCATTTGACGATTTCAAAGCCGTCGTAAGTTTCACACTCTCTTCCTCTCAACTGATCACGATCTCAACGAATGGTCAGATAAACGGAGAGAAGCCCGTCGTTATCGACTTTTGGGCTACATGGTGTGGGCCATGTCGAGTGATATCCCCAGTTTTCGAGAAGCTCTCCGACGATCTGTCTTTTGCCGGAGTGGAATTTTACAAAGTAGATGTGGATGAGCAGGATCAAATATCCCAGGAAGTAGGGGTCAGAGCGGTATGTCATACAGCATGATTTTTTATTACTTTGTCATTAACCTTGATTTTATCTAGATGCCCACGTTTGCTTTGTTCAGGAAGGGTGAGAAGGTGTCCGAACTTGTAGGTGCACGCCCGCAGGAATTGCAGGTACGTCATTTAACGACGGGCTCGCTTGAACGTTAGACTGATCTTTCTTTCGATTCAGTCGCTCGTAGCAAAGGCTCTAACTGATTGAAAGGCATCAGTCGGCATTAGATGTCAACGGCGGATTAGAAGGCGTTGAATATCATTATTCGAATATCAAGTAACGCAGATGGATTTTATCGCAACTTCACAACGTGGTCGGTTTTTGCCCCCCGTTTTCCCAACCCGAAAGATACGCCAAACGCAGAAGGTATCCTGAGTCTTAAAACCATTGCTGATGTCGCGTCAGGACTTCAAGTTCGACGCGGTGGAATTCTCCTTGCGAGATCCGTCGGAGGGTTGACAAGGTAAGACATATCACGACGAGCAGGAGTCCTTTCTTGTGACTCACGTTGCGGAGAAAACAAAGTCTGCCGCGTTCCTGAAGGTAAGGAATTCTGGAGCGGTGAGGATTGTATTCCCAGTGCTTCATTGAAACCCAGCCGAATGTAAACGGCAGCAGCGTCATGCCAAGGTGGATGTCTCGAGTGGTGGGTCTCCCGCTGGTCAAGACGAAAAATCAAACGGGATGGATGATGACGGTGAGACCTTCAAGCCGTGCGTGGGGGTCGAAAACAAGCACCACGTTATACAGTCTAAAGTGCCATGTTCGCATTCATCTTGAGTCGTGATATAATCCAGGATACGATCCTGCTTACTTCCACGGTTTTTTCTTCTTGTTTGGATTGATGACCTATATTTCCTTTCCGAAGAGCGAGCTACAATGACTTTGTGTGGAATCGGCAAATTTGAGAAAATGATAAAGGATTCCAAAAGGGTGAGTACTTGCTACAGCACTAGATGTTCAAATAATGATCATGTTCCGGCGCGTTCCCTCTCGATTTTCTTCGTTTTTAAACACATAAAATAACAAAAAGAAGTATACACCCGACGAGAATCGAACTCGTGCCGCTTGCTGCACTCCGACGTTTCAGAATGGAAGGCAAGCATGATAACCACTTCACCACAGGTGTTCTTGAAGATTGCCACAAGTCATGCTACACATACAAACATCTAAGCTGGCCAGCTTGTGCTCGAGGGAATTGCCCAACTGCATAATTTTTAGAAGAACATATGTTCTGAAGAACTCAGTGGTGGCCATTCCCATCTATCCGTAGTCTTCAAGCACCATTCAACTCGATCGTACTAGAATAGGGAGTTCAACATATAAAGGTTATGCCACTATAGAACTCTCCCTCACAACACAACATGCTTAATTTATTCCTTGTGCCCCCTCACATTTCTCGGGGATATACTATATCTGACTTCTACTACCACTGTGTCTTGTACGGCTGGGCAGCGGCTGGACTGAGGGAATTATTTGATGTCAATGCGCCCTTGTTTTTTCTACGTTCAATCCCACTCCGAAAGGGTCGCATTGAGAAAGGTGATTATTTCTGTTGTACATATCCTTCCTACCGTGACCCAGAGTGAATTTTCATGCCTCTCCATTAGACACCCAAAATATACATCATTCGAAGGTTAATTTTCCTTTTGGTCTTACGAATCCAAATTTATTCTCGAGCAGGAGGAAGCGCTTGTTGAAAGTAGCTACAGCTCTTGTTTGGAAGTGCGGAGCGCTCTCAGGCTGGCGCGCTTGATCTTGGTGTTGACGCGTCATATTTAATTGTTTGGCAAAGGCCTGGATTACCGGCTACGCAACTGATCGCCGCACAGATCTAGAGCGCTTTGTCCAGGAACGCTAGTAGCATTGCCTCCAGAGTCCAAACCTCTCACAACCACTCCACCGTCTCCACACACTCTCTTCCACCACCACCACCACATCTTCCCTAGACCACACGTATGGGCCGCTGGACACAATATGACGAAGTCATTCCCTCTTTCTCATCCCTCACACCGAACAAAAGAACTAACCGAGGTAACTTTGTCACAGGATTCATACCGCCTCCCAGAGGGCATGAAACGTATCGGATACGACGCCGATTCAGGGCGGTATTATTTCCGCGATCGGGATGGGTCGACGTGGGTTGGCGAGGAGGGGGTGGAGGTCGGTGAAATGACGAGAGGTTCGTCTTTGTCCTTGTTCTTGAAGCGCCAAAAATCCCTGATGGTAAATGCTTTGGTAACAGTGTCGTCTTTGCCCGCGTCCGTTGTCCAGCGCCCAGAAGACGACGTAGAAGCTGCGCCTCGCCCTAGAGGGAACGGGTATCAATTGCTCAGCGGGGATCATGTTGGTGTTCCCCTTGCCCTCCATCACATTTAATTAATTAACTCAATCAACGCGCATATGTAGACCCGTCCAATGGCCACCACCACCGCCCCCTTCTCCCACCCATCACCCTACCGCACCCTCTTCCCCTTCTTCCTCCTCATCGCCGTCATCCTCCTCCTAATCTGGCGCGTCGTCCTCTCCCCCTCTCTTTTTTCCCCTACAAAACCAAAGGTGTGCCCCGAGGGGACTAGGTCGTACTACGTACAGCCCGGCGAATCGTGTTGGGACCTCGCCACGGCAAGTGGCTGGGAATATGAAAGATTTAAGGAGGTTAATACGAAGGTTGAGTGTGAGCCGCTTATGCCTGGGACGTCGGTTTGTTTACCTGTGAGGAAGGAGTTGGTTGGGTGGAAGGCTGTTGAGAAGATTAGTGGGGATGGGGAGGCGAAGGGGAGCAGGAGGAGGAGGGGGAGTTTACGACTTTGATATGATGATTATGACGGCGACTATGACTGATTTTTTCTTTCTTTCTTTCCATCACAGGGACATTACTTATTTCACTCACTTCAATCTTTATACCACTCTGTGTGCTGGGCTGGTCTAATAGATGCACCCTTTGCTTCTATGTTGGACACAACTCAAGTTCGGTGAGGAAAAGACAAGATGACGTAACCACGAATACCTTGCCTTCTGCTCTTTCTTGCGTTCCCTTTACTCTCGATCAAGTCCACTGTATATATGTACGCCAAAAGCTACTCGTCGTTATCGTTGCGTTAACCAAAGTTAGTAACCTGTCCCTCCTCTAGTTTCAAACGTGACGGACACAACTTTCCAGCATGCCCTCCGAAGTTTTGCCAGTGGTCTTCATCAACGACAAAAACAAGCCCGCAAACATCCCAGACTGCCCAACAATAATCACCCAATCCTTCAAACTCGGTCCGGGCCAAGTAACCGCCACCAACATCAGTGGTCTCCGACTCACTCTCTCCAAGACCTCCGACCAAGACTCAGCAGACGTCAGCGACATCTGGGTCAAATACGGAGTCGAGATAACCATGGCCGAGGCCCAGACACAACACTTCATCTCTCAATACCTCCAACATGCGAAATGCACAACCGTGCGTGCTCCTCGCGTTTACATCGCGTTCACGTGGAAGCGCTTTGGGTTCATCGTTTCGGAGTTCATTTACGGGCAGCAATGTGAGAGCTCGGATGATGTGCTTATTAGCGACGCTGTCAAAACCCTCATCAATATCCAAAGCCCCGATTCGAGAAAGCCTGGGCCTGTAGGAGGAGGTCTGATCGAACACCCGTTTTTCTGTCATCGGTTGTCTGATATTGAGTATGAGTCCGTTGAGGACTTGGAGGATCATGTGAATGGGGTAAGTCTTCTCTTCTCTTTTTTCTCGCCCTTGTCCTCTCGTAGCCGCTGATCAACTCTGGACACAGATCCTCACCGTAACAGACCGAAAACCCCGCGTCAACTTCCGTGACGAAGTCGCTTCTCACGGACTACGCCTCTGCCCCTCAGATTTGAAATACGTCAACTTCCTGAAAGATGTGGATGGGGGCATCGTAGCGGTGGATTTTGCAGGCTACTCTTTCCTTCCGCCTTCCTTTTTCGTCTTTGCCTTGACGCAGGGGAGTCTGGTGTACCGCATTTCCGCGATACTCGATTATCCAATGTCGTCGATGAATGCAAAGGGAGTGGCGAGTGCTTCGTATGCGTTGATTCCGTTTTCTAGTAATAAAATTGGTGAGCTGATCTCCTTGGTGTCCTTGCCTGTCGCCCCCTTCCGAGAACGACGAGCTCACCGTACTTACTGGACAGGCCTTCCAAAACGACTGCGGGCCCAACTTCTTTTCTAGACGCACGCGCCGCACAAGCCGTGTAGATCTGGAACCGTGATGGTACTTGATACACGAAAGAAAAGAGGTGTCGGGAAGCTGAGCGCAAGTCTTTTTCTTCTTCCTCTTGCTCGAAGTATCATCGTGATGACTTTTTGTTTCTTTCCAGAGTGGAACGACAATACCTGGTGTACTATATATGCGCACAACCAGCAGTGTATCAATATCCTATGCACAACGCTGACCTGGAAAATTTCCTACGTTCAGAGTTGCAGGTAGCCGCCAAGCAAGTAGCCGCACTGCAGCTCACTGAAGGAGTGGGAACATGGCGTGTTCTGATGAGGAAGGAGTAGTTCACATCTTGTCTCTGTAGCCCTATGTATTTCTACTTCAGTTCAATACATCATCTTCCCCCAACACGCGTGTCTTTCATCTCATTCTCCTCATTCACACACACTTTCCTTGGATGTCTCTGCCCGGTTCAACCAAGCTACCAGCTGTATTCGGCAGACCACCCGAAGGTCTACTTCAAGCAGACACTCTCCTCGGAGCGGAGAGTTTGTCAACCCCAAGCCAGCTCCTCGATCGACGACACCAAAACCAAATGCATGACCCGCGACTAACCCCCGTCCTTCCTAGTGGACATCGACTCATCCTCCTCCTCTGCGTCCACGACCTCTTTCTCCACACGACCCCCAACCACCCCAACACCAGCTCAACGCGCATAAATCCAACACGATCATCCTCCACCTATTGGCCTTTCGGTCCATCAACGTGTACGGTTGTTGAGGTGGATCAAAAAAAATCCGATCTGGAGGGGAAGGGGAGGATGATGATGAGTATGTCGAACGCATTTGAGCTGCGTATTCGTGGCGTCAGGAGCTTGGAGATGAGTATAATGGTGATATACGACGTGAGCCTGCCTGAATGGAGTGGGACCACAGTTTTGACAGGCGATCGGTGATTCCTTAGCTTGGACTCACTCAAAAGTCGTCTGACCTGATTAGCACAAGTGGAGGTCAGATTGATGACAAAAGAGCGTTGTATGATACCCACCTTCAAATTGAGATTCGTGTCTCTAGTTCAGGGAGAGAAAGGTAACGTCCAAGGGTGAGGTATCGTGCGTACCCTATGGTCTACGGGGTGGCTTCGAGGAGTGCATGAAGATTAGCTGTCGCTCGCAATTCATCCTTACTTCCTTTTGACGGAATGAAACTCGAACGTTTGAGGGGAACAAGACGTCGGGGAATCACTGTAATAATATCAGCATGTAATATTGAACGACAGAAGTATCCGTTGTGCGCACCTCTCGCCTGACGCGAAACAACTCCCAACTCGATGTTCAAAGGGTATGAGTTCAACGTTACAGAGGGTCCTTGTTGGACAGCTGAGGAGTTCATCAGACACCCTTTTAACTTACGTTGGTAGAAAGACCTCTTGAGGGAGACGGCGACTTGAGGGGATCGTTAAGAGGCGTCAGGCAAGACCTCGAATCTTGTGCAAGCCGATTGAAAGGGAAAAGGTATAGGCGAGTGGGGTACCAGATATATTCGGCCGCTGCAACTCGACTGACACTTTCTTTGTCCCTCTCAGCCGGAGGGTTTTTTTTTTTGAAACTGTTCTGCACTATCGGCTCGTGCATGGCAGGAACCTTGACACACCCGTCGTTCATTTCCGTCACGGTTCATCCTTCACCGGACATAAAAACGAAAAAGCTGTGTGGCCGTATCCTCTGAAAGGCCCTCCCAACGGTCGACCTCAGTCAGGAGGACCAAGAACAGATTTGGCGGTGAGGGAGCTGTGGAGGGGGTACGGCGTTGGTGATGCAAAGGTGGAATTTTGGGGAGTCGTGAAGGTCGGCTGTCGTCAAACGGTTTCGTTGAGAAGGAGGAGAGGGGGAATGTGGATGCGTGAGTGGACTTTCAATAGAGCTAGCTGGGTAAACAATCGTTAACTACCGCTGGCTTGGAATAGAGAACAACATGAACCCACTGCCATCTTCCGTAAAGAAAACCGGCGCAAGCACGGCCAACGTGAGGACTTGAACACATCCGCTGAGCGACCGCGCAGCAACTCCGTCCTTGAAAGAGAGGGAGTTTACGTCTTTGAAGATTGATGTTCAGAAGGGCTAACTCGACGATGAGCCGGCAACTCACTTTGAGATAATGACACCTGTAAGACGAAAAAGAGGGACATGTAGGTTGCGTACCGTGTCCGGTTTCGGGTACTGACTTGACACCGCGCAGCCAAATCTGCCATTACGATGGTCCGCGTTCGTCGAGTGCACTTGTAATGCACACTGCAGCCTAGCATCAATCCAATACGCGCGTTCGGCACTAGCAGCGGACGTCGTTCTCTCTTCGTGAGCCCTGTTGGTGCTATACATACTAGAAAGTCGAGCTCAGCTACCAGAGACAGTAAGCCGCCGAGGATTGAGAAAGAGAGAGAGCCCAGGCACGTGATTGCATGTAGGTAAAAATAGACCAACCCACCTCGTGGCATAATTGGGGGTCTGGGCAGTGGGTTTGGGCGCTGTCCTTTCCAAGAGGTGTCAGATCCATTTATGACAAAGCACAAGCGGTGATATCCGAAGGACGGCATGTCAGCGGCATCTACCATTCCCATCAACTCCGCTGCACAAGCGTTTGAGCGAGTCCAAGGCTCGTGTACCACAGGATACATCTGGAAAATGCACAGTGGCTATGGGGACCTATATAGGCTTGTGTAGGGTAAAAGTGCCGTAGCATGGTACCCCTCTATGATAGTTGTTGGTAATAAGATGTCTGACTATCAGCATCTATATAGTCCCATAGATGTGTAGGCTTGTAGTTCCATAGGATCTAAAAGTCCTACGTAGTTTGATACAAATTATCAATGAGATTAAAATTAAATATTGGATGAGCTTCTTCGAGCTCATCCAGCAAGTTTCCGCCGTGCCGGCCGCTGTGTTTTTCTTTCTGAGAATTGTAATGTAACTACCGAGAATCGAACTCTGGACCTATTGATGTAAAATTCGAGGTTGTCAACGTATATATTTCCCACTACGCTACGTGCACATGTATGATTAGCACTTCTAGCTTTTTATACCGGCCATACAGTCTGAACTCCATTCTCCAACCTTTCTCAAGTTATAAACTTGTTTCCGTGAGCCACGCGTACTGATGAGAAAGTTAACTCAAAACGGTGATACAAGTTATAACACCCCGTGCACGTAACAACCATTGTTCCTGGGCCATAGTTGGGCCATAGGCTATAAGTAGCTATAAGTTGTTTTTTAGCAAGGTCAATAGGGAGCACAAATGACTACGTAGTCCTATGTTGGTGCCTCAGTAGTACTGGAAAGGAGAAAAGAAGTCCTGTAGTGACCATTATTTCAGCTGAAACCGATAGCGAGAACAGGTGACTATGTAGTCCTACACGGGATGGGCGCTCCTACTGATTGCTTTGTAAACATCAAGGAACTACCTAAGTCTACTGACATGACTGCTACTATCGAGCAGAAACACATTTCCTGATGTATCACCTATTCATAGTATTCACGAAACTACATCAAATCAGAGGTAATGTAAATTGTGCTAATTCTTGAAGAAGAAGTGAGGATAATATATGGGAAGACAATTTCAAAGAAAGACATTTGAGTCGGTAGTAGTAACACTGCGAAAAAAAGATGGTGGGTGGTGAATCGACGGCGTTGGTAGTTGAATAGATGGGATTAGAATTTAATGATAAAATGACAAAGGGTTGGTATTTTTCTCCCTTGGCCTCTACCTCACTCATTGGGATTCTCGGAAGTAAGATAGAAGATACAACTTACAGCTTACAACAGGTTTGCATAGCACACATCGGTCATGGTGCTAGCCCTTGTCTATCATCTGGAATGCCTAGTCTTGTTCCTTCCCCTTCACTTAGAGTGATTTTTTCACGGAACTCTTGGAGTTGCGAAGAACAGGAGATCATGAAGGGGAGCAATGTTGTCAGTAGGAGTATTTTAATCAATTTGATTGAACGAGGAGGTAGAGTAGAATTGTCCGAAGAGAGAGAATGTGGTTTCACAAACTTATTCGACCATTTTCCGAAGCAAGGACGCATCTGGAGATTCGGACGAGGGTGAATGCAGTACTGATACCATTTTGATTTCATAGAATAAGCCATCTCAAGCCACATCATGCGAGATTCCCTAATATGGTATGAGGGTGGTACCCTCATGCTGTGGGAACAATGGTCAGGATCGGAGGATCTGATGCCTCTTGGTCCTTTCCTTCCCTTCCCTCATCTCGAACCTCTCTATCTTCGATATCTCAACATGAGCGGAGCGAGAGATCTCCTTGCAGGCACCCACCACTTCGTTGCTAGCAACAACACATTCAACGAAGCTAACACTGTGAGTGGACTGTTTACTACTGGTCCATATCAACCTGATGGCGGTGGATCTGTTGCAGATCAACATCCACCACAACTACGGCAATACAACACCGTCCAATGGGGTCATTTCCCTTATGCCGAATCCGAGCATTCGGTTCACAGGGTGTACAGAAATCATCACCAAACTCAAGAGGCATTTTTTCACCAGCACCAATGACGCAGTTCAGAAGAGGAAATTCTTCCTGTTATATGGAATGGGGGGTATTGGAAAGTCTCAGATATGTTTGAAGTTTGTTGAGGAAATGGATGACAGGTGAGCACCTATCAAGCACAAGTCTGATCCTGCCCAAACCAAATTAAATTGCCCCCAGCTTCTCTCAAGTTTTCTGGGTTGATGCATCATCTTCAGGTACCATCTTACAGGCACTTAAGGGTATCAGTCAGTCTTGTGCACTGGATGGCTCCCCTGAGTCTGCTCTCTGCTGGGTTGGCTCTCTGAAAGAGAATTACATCATGATCTTTGATAATGCTGATGTTTTGTCACCTGCTGCACTGGAGGCATATTTCCCACCTGGAAAGAGGGGAAACATTCTGATAACTAGTCGTAACTCTGCCATGAAGACTCTGACTTTAGTTGAGAATTTCTTGAAGTGACTGAAATGGAAGAAAAGGATGCTATTGAACTACTTCTCAAATCTAGTTGCTTGGAATCACCCACATCAGATGTTCAAGTTGAAGCCTACAAGATTGTAAAGGAGCTTTTCTGTTTACCTCTTGCCATTGATCAGGCTGGTGCTTATATTGCTTCTGGGGTGACCACTATTGGAGACTACCTTGCAAAATTTTCAGAGCATCAAAAAATATTGTTATCCCATTCTGAATGTACTGGAGCTTCTAAGTATAACAGAACTGTCTATGAAACTTGGGAACTATCATACCAAGAAATTCAGGAAAGGAGTAAATCTGATGATTCTCATAAGGTTAATGCAGCCAATAGTGCAATGCTCCTTCTGGGTTTACTCCCTTTTTTCCACCATGAGGGGAACACTGAAGAAATCTTTTCTTATGCTGCTCTTACAGAAAATGAGGAAGCATCTAGCCCAAAATTACCCCTTGCTAGTTCTCTGCTAGACCGGAGACTACTTCCTCTCAATGAATCAGGTACTTGGGATAACTTTGTCTTCAGAGAGGGACTTCGGATGTTACTGTCATTCTCCTTGATCAAGAAAGGCCCATCTGATTGTGTATATGCCATGCATCCACTGGTTCATACCTGGGGTAGAGACAGATTGACTTTGAATGAGAGAAAAGAATGTTGCTTCATGGTGTATGTCATCTTGTCTTGTTCACTAAGATGGGATGTAGACCAGCCATATGGATTCCAGAGGACCTTGGTAACACATGCAAGAGCAAATATGCAGTATTTCAAATCAGAAGGTTGTCAAAATATTGTCAGTTACATGGATGATGCCTATGCAAAGTTTGGGAGGCTGTTGCAGGAACAAGGATATTTCAAGGAGGCAGAAACCTTGGAGAATAAAGTTCTAGATACAAGGAACAGAATTCTTGGGGTGGGACACCCAGATACAATCACAGCTATGGCAAATCTTGCAGCAACATATGGAGACTTGGGAAAATACATAGAGGCAGAGGAGCTGAAGATCCAAGTGCTGGATGGAAGGAAGAGGATTCTTGGGGTGGAACACCTAGATACAATCACAGCCATGGCAAATCTTGCAGCAACATATGGAAACCTGGGAAAATACATAGAGGCAGAGAAGCTGATGATCCAAGTGCTAGATGCAAGGAACAGAATTCTTGGGGTGGAACACCTGATACAATTACAGCCATGGCAAATCTTGCAGCAACATATGGAAACCTGGGAAAATACATAGAGGCAGAGAAGCTGCATATCCAAGTACTAGATGCAAGGAACAGAATTCTTGGGGTGGAACACCCTGATACAGCCACAGCCATGGAAGCTCTTGCAGCAACATATGGAAACCTGGGAAAATACATAGAGGCAGAGAAGCTGCATATCCAAGTACTAGATGCAAGGAACAGAATTCTTGGGGTGGAACACCCTGATACAGCCACAGCCATGGCAAATCTTGCAGTAACATATGGAGACCTGGGAAAATACATAGAGGCAGAGAAGCTGCAGATCCAAGTGCTGGATGCAAGGAACAGAATCCTTGGGGTGGAACACCCAGATACAATCTTATCCATGCAAATCTAGCAGCAACATATCAAAACATGGGAAAATACATACAGGCAGAGAAGCTGCAAATCCAATATCTGAATTCAAGTAACAGAATTTATGGAGAGAAACACCCACAAACAAACAATGCCATGCAACATCTAGCAGCAACATATCGAAAGATGGGAAGAATCCTAGAGGCACAGAAGCTTGAGATTGAAGCTCTGAGATGCATGAAGAAGTGTTCTTGAATTGAACATCTCACCACAATGAGGACCATAGCCAATGTCCAAGAAGCCTAGGAGACTCAAGTTCTTGAGCAAGCAGCACAGTCAGAGAATCAAAATTGCATTCAGTACAGGTTGTTTTGAACCTGCTTTATTATCTGTTCATCAATACAATAATGAATCCTCACAAAAAGGGTATACAGTGAAATAAAATTTTCTTTAAATCCTCTGCCATATTTGTATGATTAGCTACACTTGCTGATGAAAAGTAATGCCACATGATTTTTTGGACAAAGTTGGTGCTATAACACAAGAACCAAACATTTTAAGGACTAAACTCTGGTGCATGAAACATAGCTAAGGAGGTGTAGATTGTATATGCCAAGTCTGGGGATGAACAAATAAAAACTCAGGATAAGGGCATAGTCTGTGAGAGCTGCCAAAAATGGGATGTAACAAAATGGGAAATTCTGAATGACTGCATCCTACTGAAAGCAATTCACAACTTGAGGAAGAGATATTATGAACACTGGATCTCCCTGCTATTGTTATGAGCTTCATAAAGTCTCTGGGCTAGAGAAATTTATATCCTCCTCTAAAAGATAAATTTGAACTTTTTCTCCATTTTATGTATTTTTTGCTCAATATACTTGTTGGAATGAGGCAAAATGACTCCCTATTAATGTTTGTAGTGTGTAGAATACAAAAGGTGGATAATAATATTAAAATGAACATTGCCTGATGTCTGCAGAAGTTAATTACCAGAGTTTTTCTGAAAGTACACTAACTGGGCAAAAAGAATGTCACATCATTTTTTGGACAAAGTTAGTCCTGTAAGACAAGAACCAAACATTTTGAGAACTACACTCTGGTGTATGAAACATGGCTATAAA